CCCAACTCAGGTGCCTTTTCTGTCTAAGAATCCAGTGAACCAGACAGCGAACATCACTGCAGGTAGGAAATGTAAAAATCATGCTGATTCATGTGCAGATACGTGCAGGTCAGTCATTCTAATTCACTGCTTATCTGTCTTGGACAGAAGATGATCGTTAATGATCCATCAGCCTTTATGTCAGTTATGGCCGTAAGTTTAATAGCCTTATTATGGAAGGGGTTTTACTGGAATATTACCGTTATCATTCCTTTTATTAAACTGCTCCTATACTTTTACTGAATTCAACAATCCTTGTGGACTGCCATAAAGGTCTGATTAGTGTCATTGCATACCTATGTTTTGTCTTTTCACTTAGCATTCATTCTCACCTTTTTCATCATCCTCTCAGACTGCACAGTTCTGGTCAGTGATGGACGACGCATTGTTGGGGGGACGCTGGCGGCCAATGACAGGTGGGGCTGGCAGGTCAGCATGCACTGGAGAGGGAAGCACGTCTGTGGAGGGGCCATCATCTCCCCTCGCTGGGTCATCACTGCAGCTCACTGCTTTGTTGAGTAAGTGGTGGACATGAGGGATGAGAGTAAGGAGTTAAAGTAGTATAGTTACACTTTGGGACCTCAAAGTTAGATACCACATCTGTGTATCCATAACTTTCAGAAGGAAATCAACATCTCAAACTTTACTGAGCTCAGTAAATTGTTGACTGCTGACAAAAAGATAAATCATTGTTGACCAGAGGGTTTAAAGGTTTAGTGAAACATGGTTTACTTGCATTTATATGAAGAAATTGCAATTACAGACAATACATTTAAGGATTATTAGGTTCACTTTCTGCCTGACGACAACTCACAACACTATTTTTCCTAATTCTATACCTGCCTTTGAGATGGAACCAATGGAACTTTTCTCATGCAAGAAAATCAACATTTAACCATATTTAAAAGAGGGTATAGCTACAACAGTGTGTGCTTGGCAGGCAGGTATTGTGATATATAGTTTTTTTGGGCTCAGTATTTGAACAAGAGGTGTTGTTTCAATAACACATATAGTATACAGACAATCATATCAAGACAAGTCATCATCAGAGTTAAAACAGCATCAGCATAGTAGACGATCACACAAGATCAAACATCGACTTGAACTGAACTCAGAATACAATTGTCTCTGTGACGCTGCTGCTTCTGCAGGAACAACATGCTGGAAGTGGCTGCCTGGCTGGTGGTGGTGGACACAGTGAGCATCGCAGACAGCTCTCTGGGGCAACGCTACAGAGCACTGCAGGTCCTCTACCACCCCCGCTTCAACACCTACAACAACGACTATGACGTGGGCCTGCTGCGCACCATCACTGCCATGGACATGAGAGGTAAGAGACAGGTGGCTCCACCCGTCAGCAGGGCTCAGGAAACACACAGGTGTTCGAAATGAATTAACGGGTTCTTGAATTTGTGTTTTCAAGATATAAAACTATTAAGACTTTTTGAAAGTTCTTCCCAAGAATTGTATTAACTATTTTTAAGTTAAATTGAACTAAACTAATTCTTAGATATTCTCATATGGATATTACTAATTTCTAAAATGTCTCTCTATTATAAAAGCATTGTCAAAATTCATAATGCAGTTTACTCCATTATGTTTGGGTACTAATATTCTTAACTACAATCAATAAAATGGTGCAAAATTAATCTTATATAAGACAATGTTCTTAGTCTATTTTGGAAAAATTAACTGTTAAATGTTTTACCAAATCTTGTGGAGAAATATGGTGACTAGTCAGATCCCTGCAGCAAATGCCAAGTAAATATTCAGTTTACTTATTATTAGTTATTCACTTGTATTTGCTGAGTTCCTAGTACTTCCAGAGGGGGGCAGTATTTGCTATCACTGTATTGCCAAAGTAGCCTAAATAAGTAATCATGGATTTTATATATATATGTGTGTGTGTGTGTGTGTGTGTGTTTATCTTGAGAGATAAATGACACATATTTTCTAAGTGGAACTTGTGTGATAAGTTTTATGCCTCTATTGCTTTGCTCATAAACATAAGATTATATTTCGGTCTGATTACTGTGTGCTGTTTGCAGGTGGGGTGCGACCAGTCTGTTTACCCCGCCCGAGCGAGTCCTTTCCTCCTGGAGCAGCCTGTTGGATCACAGGCTGGGGATATATTCATGAAGGAGGTGTGATAGTGTTACTCTGACACAGACTCTCTAATTATGCTTTTTGTAGCTGACAACACTTTCTTTGGTCTCAGTTCTTCCATTTCACTGAAGTAATTTACAATGAAAGTAAGTTCTAAACGGTTCCAACTACATCCTATAATCCTAAAGTCTTTGTGGACTTTTCAAGGCTTATAAATTATTCAAGTCATCGTTTTTTTTCTTACATTAGTACTTACATACTCATTTATTCCTGTTTTTGTCAGGCTTTGTGTCAAATGAGCTAAGGCAGGCACAGGTCAAGGTAATAGCTCAGTCCGCCTGCTCCCACCCGAGTGCCTATGGCGTGTACCTAACTCCCCGGATGATTTGTGCTGGCACCATGGAGGGAGGGGTGGACTCATGCCAGGTATACACCCAGTGACATAAAACCTCCTCATAAACCTAACAAAAAAGTTTATGAAGAATATTTGTTGGCTTAACAATAGATCACCAGGTAAAACGGTCATACATTTGTCGTACGGTCTAAAACGTTTACTAAATCATTTCTTTCTGTTTTAAGGGAGACAGTGGCGGACCCCTGGTCTGTGAGACAGCCAGTGGGGACTGGAGGCTGGCAGGGCTGGTGAGTTGGGGAGAGGGCTGTGGACGGCAAAATAAACCAGGCGTCTACAGTAGAGTAACCGAAATGATCCACTGGGTTGAAAGATATATAGAGGTACTGTATAAAGTAATATCCTTGTCTGTCCCTGTTTGTCCTTCCCCTTATGAATGTGTCATGACCACAGTCAGTCAAGCTTTATTTTAGGCCGGCAACTAACGATTATTTTAATCATAGATTATCCTGCCAGCTATTTTCTCAATTAATTAATTAGATGTTTGGTCTATAAGTTGTCAGAATTCATTTTCTGTTGAACAACTAATCAATCAATCAACTCGGCCTGATTGTTTCAGCTTCATTTAATGATTTTAAAGTGTACTTACAGCTGTGTGAAATAGATTGGATTCATTTATTTGCTGTTGTTGTAAAAATGAAATGGAAATGATATCAGCTGGTTTACAAGCTGTGTCAACATTGCATTCTTTTTATTCTGAACTATGAACTCAAGAAGGAGAATAATTTCCTGTCACGTGTACTCTCATACAGCAGCGACAAAAATGGTTTTAAAGAGCTGAGAAAGCGACATGCATTTATGTGGTTATTCCTCCCTGTATCTGCTGATAAATATATGCACCACAATGCTGAACACATTTCAATAAAGTGTTCGGCATTATGCACAAGTGAGTACAAAAATAGCAGCATTGGTTACAAATAATAGGAATACAAGTCAATAAATAGTAGTGACAGTAAATTAACTCATTGGGTCAGTAAGACATGCTGAATGAGAGCATTGAAAAATGTGTTGAACAGACAGAAGGCTTACCGTAACATTTTATATCTTGGATTTTTTATTGGCAGGAGGTACTTTAACAAAATACATTTCCTCCACGGAAATATGTAAGACTTTATTTGATGTTGATGCTTGCATTTTCCCTTTTCTCTTTTTATTTTTTGCAGGACAAACCAGGAATGGAGGAGACCACCACAGCCATCACTGACACTTACAACTGAGACACTTCACAATAAAGAAGCCAATGACCTGCTTGTTTTTGTTGTTGGTTATAAAGTGAACAAAGATCACAAATTATATGGTAACAGGTTTATATATAAATTGCAGAGGTATCAGCTTATGTCAGCTGTTAAGTAACAAGAAATTGCAGTACAGTAATGCCAAATATGTTTGAGCAGAGACAGAGAGAGGGAGGCTACAATTTGATCAATGGCTTAATGGATTCATTTGTAAGTACAATATCAACTATGACAGGACCTCCATCATTCATTTTGTTACCTGGTCTAATAGAGGGACTTTGTGTCAAAATGTAGTTTCAAGATCCAAACTGTTTGAGTTTATATTAAGCTCCTTTATTTTTAAGTTGTATTTTATCAACTGTTTCATATTTTTCTGCGTCAAGAAATAAACACACAGAAAACATTGGGTATTAAGTTTTATTCCATAGAAGTAATACAGGTCTGTATACAATGGTCATTTTTTATTATCAATATATCTGACAACTATTTTCTTTAATAACTGATTTATTGATTAGTCTGTAGAAGGTCGGAAATTTGTGAAAAATGCCCATCATTATTCCCTAAAGTATATTCTGAGCACCAGTCAAAAACACAAAAATGTTGAGTTTACTACAATACTTAGAATTAATCAGTTATCAAAGTTGTTGTCAATTAAATTTTTGTTAAATGACTAGTCAATACAGTAGTGGTTGGTTTCTGGGTGCCTGGAGAAATAATGAAACTGCTGTGCACAGGGGTGACCAACAAGGGACCAACAAAAAAAAATTGTCCTGTGGCAATCACTAAGGTTATAGTGTCCTAATCAGTACATATATTTGTCACAATTTAAAAATAACATATATATGTAATAGAATTAAATAAGGAAGCAAATAAATATATACATGCAAGGGAACCTTTCCAAAATGTCTATGCCATGCGGAAAAAAAACAAAATCCAGTATGGTTGTGTAGTAACATACTATAGTCTCAAAAAGCCTCTGTATATTTGTTTAATGACGGCAGGTTGCAAGACTCCTTTATGTTGCACTGTAACTTGATTTAGTTTCGGTGGTATGAGTCTGTCTGATAAAGTATTTCAACTGTCACGTAGGCCACAGTAGCTGCAGTCGACACCATTGTTGTGTGGGGTTGCGTGTCCGTGCGCGTGTCATGACCGCGCGTGGCTGTCGCTCCTGTGCCACAACAGACAACAGTGGGCGTGTGTGCGGCGTTAACTTAACTGACCCGCTTATGACTGTGGAGGAGGAAGCTGACCTGCAGGACTCGGGTGGATTAACCCAAGTTGCTCAATAACACAAGTATTGGCTATGGCACCAGTCACAGCGGCTGTAAAAGTGAATGACGCTGCGACACCATCATAGTCTCGAGGTTCACGCAAGTTGAGAGTCTGACTTTCAAGCAACGCTAAACTCAAGAGTTAACCTGTAAGAAATTGGACATTATCTGCCTTAAGCTCGAGGAAAACGTGGCTACATACCGTTGCACGCGCGTAGCTGCAGCGTCTCAGGTGCTTACGTGCGGCTGTTAGCTGTCAACGCATTCGCTCCACCTGGAATAATTTTCTGATTGTGCCGTCGGGGTAACGTAGACGAACAACGATGTGCTCGGTTATAAACAGAGTGAAACCAGTTCAGCGAACTCTGGCTCTCACGCTTCGCCTCAGACCAAACACCGAGGGCTCGAGTTACGCAGCAGCCGAGAGTAGGCGCTTCTGTCCCGGCGTAAGTGCTGGCGTTAACCCGCTAAGCGCTACCACCAGATGGTACTGCTCCAGGATGGCGCTGACGGAAGGACTGCTCTTCAGACAAGTAGGTCCATGTTAATTTATGTTGTTTTGCATCATTCATTCCGTCAGGTGCAACACATAAAGAAAAAGCAGCTATGTTTGTAAATATTTTTGTTGCTAGCTTCTCTTAGTGGGAAGTGAGCTAGGTGGAGTTAGCCGTTAGCTTAATTGTCACTGTTGTTACGTTCAAAGTTGCAGTTTGTTTAAAGTAAGCCAAACCAAGTTATCGGATTCATCTTCGCGAGTTATGGTAGAGTTTCTCAGCCAAACGCATCCCTCACTTCGCTCAGTGGTTTTTGCAGTAACGCTGAAAACTAGGTAACATACTGTTTGTGCTGTAGTTTTATGGCTGTATCATTGAGACACTGCCGTGGGTGAGGGATGTTTTTTTTTAGCTTGACAATTCATTCTTGACCTTCGGCTACAGCAGCTGACAAACCAGACTCCACTCAAGGTGCACTTGCTCGCTTTTCTTGCAGCTGTCGACCATATCACACAGTCGTCATCAACGGTTTGAACGTCAAAATTTCTGTGATAACTGAGTTAATTAAATCTGTTTAAGAGGAGCGTGTGTTGTGTTCACAAGCTTGTATTGTTAACTTGACTAGTTTTTGTGTGAAGTAAAGGTATTAAACCGAAGTACATTGGTTGTAAACACTAATTATACAGTACTGTGCAAAAAGTGAGGAGGTTGCTTTCAAAAATAGCAATGAATAGTTTTTATTTATCAATTGACTTCACACAGAGTGCAATAACAAGAAAAAAATCAATATGAAATTCCCTTTAAATAAGTGCCAGTTTTTCAAAATACCTGGTGTTTGGATTGTTTCAAGCAATTTGGAGAACTTGTAGCTCCACATCATAAACTGTTCAATCTCTTTCTTATCACATCATGACGGGGAGGATGTGCATCGTTGCCAACTGTTGGCATCCTTTATAATTTCTTACTAAGTCATTCCTGTGCCCTCACCTGTTTTTTTTCTGTTCAGCTGTTTGAGTCGGAGAGCAGCACCTACACCTACCTGCTAGCAGACCCAGAGACCAAGGAGGCTGTCCTCATCGATCCTGTACTGGAGACCATCGACAGGGACCTCAAGCTCATACATGAACTGGGGCTCAATCTAAAAGTGGCAGGTACCTAACCTCCTGTGGCTGGGGGTAAAGATATGGTTTTGTTTAATATATTCAGACAACTTTAAGAAAGTGTGTGTCCCATCTTCTTCATTGTCAGATACTTACATGCAAACTGTAATAAGTTGACTCGATCAATTAAGCCGTCATACTGCAACAAATAGCTTCTCAGGTTCTGTTACTACCAACGGCTTTTATACTTTATATGATCAAATGAAATTATTATCAGACTCTATGGTAAACCACGGTATCCTGTTCTTTTGATAGTTAACACCCACTGCCATGCAGACCACATCACAAGCACTGGGCTGATGAAGAAAAGACTGTTAGGCCTGAAGAGTGCTATCTCCAAATTCAGTGGTGCCTCTGCAGATATACTCCTGTTAGAGGGAGACAAAATCAACTTTGGAAAACACGTAAGAAGGACTTTTGTAACATATTACACTCTATAAGCTCAGTCTATACAACCTTGATATTAGAGAGAATGACTTGAGTTTAACCTTTGTCTCTTCTCCCTGCTAGTATCTGACTGTGAGAGAGACACCCGGACACACTGATGGTTGTATGACGCTGGTGTTGGGGGATCAGAGCATGGCATTCACTGGGGACGCTCTGCTCATCAGAGGCTGTGGCAGGACAGACTTCCAGCAGGGTAAACATACACTTTTACCTTGTTGTTCTGGATTCTCAAACACTGACCGCAAGCATTTATTTTTGTAATGTTGCGAGATGAACACAGGAGGGCGGTATAGCATTAGTTGTTTTTTGGAATTGTGAAACCTTTGTAAAATGTTCTCTTTTTGATTCAGGTTGCCCTAAGAAGCTCTTTGACTCAGTCCATCAGAAGATCTTCACCCTGCCTGACCGGTGCCTCGTCTACCCAGCGCACGACTATTTAGGTTAGCTGAAAACCCTGACATCTAAATGTTAACCTCATATCTCATAGAGCCAAAACTGGTTGTGCAAATAGACAGATTTTAAGCACAATTTAGTATTGGGAAGCCAACACAGGCATTTCCCCATCCATAGCAACCAATACTGATGTGATACACATGTTGTGCAAATGCAAATACAGACAGGCTTTTCAAACACGCCTCTTGAATGTACAGTACAGCACTTGTTTGCACGTCTGCCGGCACCATATGATGATTTCACTGCACTTTTCGAAACCGATGATTCTTTTGATTGATCGGTGAGGTTCAACATCTGGTAGACATTAAGACCGCATTTACTGTAGATGACATATTAGTCTGTGTTTGTCTCTGTGTATCAGGTCAGACGGTGTCTACAGTCGGTGAGGAGCGCAAGTTTAACCCACGCTTGACCAAGAGCCTGGAAGAGTTTGTTAACATCATGAATAACCTGAATCTTCCTAAGCCTAAGAAAATAGGTATTAAAAAAAAACATCTTATACTGTCAAACTTCATGTCACGCTCTGTTTATCAACATAATTCTAATTCCCTTGCCAAAACATTTCAAGGCTGTGATACCTCATTGCACAGGCTGACACGGTTTGTTTGTCTTCTTCCTTTGCAGATATTTCAGTGCCTGCTAATCTGGTTTGTGGAGTACATGATGTTTGAATGCAGGACGCACAAGGAAGGATTCTAATTCAATCATCTACATCATAGCAAAGTGATTACCATTTACAAATCTGTATTTAGCAGGATTAACCAAAAACTATTGACCATAAAAGTGCTTTATTGCGTGTATGTACGTAAATGCAAAGATGTATATTTGAATAACTGTTGCCATTTGGAGTGCAGCTACTGTTGTGATCATGCTTAAAATAATAATGCCGTAATTTCTATTTTAGAATTATTTCTATTCCTGCTAGAAATGATTGTTGAAAAGTTGTAGATGAGGAAAAACCACTATTGGAATTTCTTTTGTATTTTAAATGAATATAAATATGAGTATTTTTTTTTTATTCTTTATTCAGCTGTGTTATTATGAATTGTAGAATTGGGGAGGAAATTTATGAGAAGGAAAGCTCAGATAGGAATGTTCCATTCAAGGTTTGGTTTAGTATTCATGAATGCTTAACTGGGACAATTGAGTTCTTCCACATGGCCTTTCCAGTGATTCCGGACTCCTTTAGCCAAGGCCTCAGACACACCACCCAGACTGCTGCCAACCATGGCCTTTTTGCATAGCAGGAAAATGACACTACGCTATTTGCATTCAATATCACTGAGACGTAAGTTTCCATTACAAAAGCTGAAAAACATGTCATGACTGTGCGTTTGTGCTCTCAACTCTCATCTGTTCTCTACATGTCTAATAGCTAAGGGTGTCAATTGAAATGTGTATCTCAGTAAGATATGAAAAAGAGCATCCATGCCAAGTATCACAGTGAAATCTGCCTTTGGATTTACAGATGTCCCGTACGTGCTGCCTTTAACAGCTCATCAGCCAGTAAGACAGGTTTGTTTGGGAGTGTCGGCCTGTGACTCAGCCACATGCCTCTGCCAGAGAAACTTTCACATGTGACAGTAAGCTGCGCAGTAGTATTAGACTGATCATGAGCTTTTGAAGGCCTGTAACAAAAGATACCTACTGAGCCTTTTTAAATGGAAACAAACTATTCATCCTCAGATTTTCACTCTTCACTGGTTTTAAAGCAACACTCCACCACTGTTCAGTTTACTTGTCATGAGTACTACTACGAAAATGACAGCACAACATCCACTGTGGCTATGGGGGGAGCTTTTTAATGTCTGACATTGAGTTGGAAGTCTATACAAGGAAATCTTAAATTACAAACTGGTGTTGAGTTTGAAGGATGTGTGCGTTTACCAGAGTTGCAGTTTAGGAAATGTATAGGATCCAGCATTTTTGGGAGCTTGAACTATATTAGGGGGTAAAAGTCAGTGATGCATAGATTTTATCCTGTGAATCCCCCACATTTATTTTTTAGACTATTATAGGACACCAAACTGCTCCATAGCAGCTTTTATCTTTTACCTACCAAGCATAGAAAAGAACAGGAAAAAGGAATAAGTTATTTTAGAAAAACATTATCAGACAACTCAATTGTAAAAACAAAAAACTTGTCAGGAAGGCTGAGACATCTTAGGAATTGTCTTGATTATTATTACTAAATTGATTGATTTGATTAGTCGGATCGCACTGACACTGACTTTATGAAGCAGATCAGGTTTTGGACATGATGCTAACAGATCCACATTAAACACAATCACTTTGTCGCTGTTGTTACAAAACTCAAGTGTTTCCTCTATCAGGTCATTGCATGATTATCTTTGATGTTCTGGCCTGCTGGGTTTTAAACTCCTCAAAAGATGCACAGAAACTTTTTCTTTATTATCTAAGACTTAGTTCAAGAATAAAGGAAAGTGTGGGAGAAATGGTTATCTGCTGGTGGGTGTTGGCTGGTCATATGCAAGTTAATACTGTTAGCCCCCACAAACATAACATCTACCAGCTGTCTCTGTCAGCGTTTGAGATTAACAGCATTAATGGACAGCCCCTCTGCCTCACCTAGTGTACTCACTGGCAGACACCTGGCATTGGTTTTTCATTTAAAACAGGAGTGTGTGTGTTTATGTGTGAGTGAGTGAGACCGTTGTCACCATCAAGCTGAAGATGTGTTGCTTTAGAAGCCACACACTCATTTCCACCTAAAAATGGCCCCATTCTCTTGATCCTGTTTTGCTGCTGGGAGGCGAAGGTGCCAGCTGTCCTTTCACCCAGTCTGTGTCACCCATCTGCCAGCCCTCTTTCAGTCTCTCTCCCTCTAACCACTTACACTGTGCCACCACGAACCTGCTGCCCATTCTCTCACACCGGCCACATGTCACTGGAAAGAATCTATTACACTATCAGCTCATTCAGAAAGAGCTGTAAAGAGGCCAGTCGGGGTGATGAAGCCCTCGGAGTGAAGAGCAGCTTTTGCTTCACAGACCCCTAAAGAATATACTCCTCCTCCTATAGATACTTCGAGTTTGTCCTGCCGTGTATCTTCAGTGTAACTCTGTTTATTCAGCGGTAGCTCCAGAGTCTTCTCATGCCTGTTGAAAATGTTTTTCATCCCCTACAATGTCAACAAGTGAAAAGTATTATTTCTACAGGAGTTTACAGTGCTGTGGTACTCAGTGGCAAGTTTACAGTGACTGTTTAATGCTTTATGGTATTTTAATCTCTCCTGGGATCAATATAAGACTGCCATAGGGATTTACAATGTGCTTGTGGTACTCAAGTGTTGTCAAAGCACTTAATATGTGTGCATAGTCGCAGTCATCCAGGTCATGGGATTTCTAATAGTAGTAAGTCACACCTCCCTGGTGCTCATGGAATATCTACTGGTGTATTTTATCATATTTACATTGGCACTAATATCCTGTAGGGACTTTTGGTGACTTTGTTGTATTCTATAGTAACAATGTAGGACTTTTTTTAAATCTCTCTTTTATTGTTATCATCCTGATTTTCCTGTTGGGACTTTACAGTATTAAATGGTGCATATTGTTCCTGGGTTGCACTTACACTCAGATGGGTTCAGGTGGGTTTTCAGTGCACACCAGGTGATAAGTCGGTTTGTCCTCTCAAAGTGCAGTAATACAGGTAAAATTCACTCGTGGTGTGGCGCACAAGCAGGTGGGACAGGAAATGGATCGACCAGGCAGGTTAACAACCGTGTTCTGTGAAGCTGTAAATGATGCAGCCTCCTATCAAACATGTAACTGTCATTAACCGCTGTCGATGTTCTTGCACTCACTCAGCCAAGCAGCACGCCCCCTTCTCTTTTGCTTGTATTATTTTCACTGTGTGATTCTAGAAAGTATTAGTGTAAAGTAGTAGTAGTATTTCCTGAATGAGCAGTCTGTCCCTCCCCCCCAAACCCACTCTCTCAAACCAGCTGGACCTTGTAGTTTTCATGTGTCGAAGTTGAATCTGATTGACCTCTGTGCAGGTCAGTTCCCAACTGGAAACAGCAAATACGTCTCACTCAAGATTTACATAGAAATGAATAGGAAGTGAAATCTGGTCTTAGTACACCTTCAGGACTGTTAAGTCATAGAGACTCAGACTGTTTGACTGACATCTCTCTGACACTCCTGTGTGCTTTCATTGTTGCACTATTAGGGCAGGACTTTCATTCTTATTAGTACATTGTTTGTACTGGCCAAGTTAAAGCCACTGTATGTATAAAAGTTATTCTTAATGAAAAAATATGTATCCCGCAGTTGTAGCATCAAAAAAAGGGGCAGTGTGACAGACAGCCGTGAACGCTGATTGGTCATTTATATGTATAATTAATAAAGTTGTTTTTGAGACAATGTCAGACATCAAAAGACGCCTCATGCAGTAATTGTAACCTTTATTATTTAGGCATCATGTTATTGGAATAAATGTAGGTGTCATAGTAGGTTTTACATAGTTGCAGTGTGACAACTGACCCCATGTCATGTTATATTTGACTGTATGTGCATTTTAACATAGCGTGCACTTAATAAAACATTGATTTTACTGTCTATTCCCATGGATGGAGCACTGGATGTTGCTAACAGGCACAGGTTAAGGGGCTCAAAGGATCAGGAGGCCTCTGCCGCAGCCCCTGCATGGAGGCTATTTTTATTTATCAGTGCAGTGTAAAAGGTGAAAAATAGTCCCTCTTAAAAAAAACTGAAGCAACAGCATGACACAGCTTCAATGGGAGATTCCTGTAGGACATTTTACTCTGCTGGAAGATATCTTCATCTATGTGGTCACTTTAACATTATAGGACCAAATGTTTTCTAAAAAAAAAAAAACAAACATCCAGCCTGTTCCCTTCCTCCTACTCTATTTTGACCTTTAAGTTCAGTCTTCTACTGTATCACTATAATATTAACAAAAGTCCCATGGGAGTTTGTTATTAAAAGTATTTGAGTAGCCTTTTACTTCACAGTTTACTGGCAGTCAGCCGACTCCACAATGAGAAAGCCCCGTCAGCTCCCAGAATAGAAATCTCATTCGGGTGCAGGACTCAGACTGAAACAGCGCGCCGTAAAAACCGGCCGGTGAAGTTTGTCTCGGAGTTTTTGTTTTGTTTTGTTTTTTTTAAAAAGGATATGAGCTGTTCGCTTAAAAGCCTACAACACAAACCGCATGTATTATTAGTCGGTGCCCGCCTCCGTCGTCTCCCTCCTCCACATGCTTTCTGCTCGATCTCACCTGTTGACGCCGACACGCAGGTTTTTTTTTTTTTTTTTTTTTTTTCCTGGGAGGGATTGAATCAAACCAGGTGAAGATAAAAACCAGCACAGTGTGGAGGTGACGAAGCTGTGAGCGTCACAGAAAACAACCGCTCATGTCGAGGCAACTTTACGCGATCCTGACTTCTGTCTAAAAATGAAAGCGCTTTAAAAAAAAAAAAAAGAAAAAAGAAAAAGCTGGCTCCCCCTCTCTCTTTCTTTCATTACGTCCGGCTTGGCCACTATATGTTACAAACCGGAGGACCCACAGCTCCTGTAGTCGAGGGTGAAGCTCATTTTTCCAGGTAAGACTCGTTTGTTTGCTTTAATTCGCTTTCCCTCTTGAAATCCTTCCTCCCCAGAACAGCTTTCATGAAGCTTGTGCAGTTCCTGTCGTAGATATCAGGCAAAAACAAAACGACTTCCCAAAGGAGACAAATGCTCAAATGAGAGCTCTGACATTAATGTGTGTGTAGCCGGAGTTTCCAGGCATGGGGAAGTTTGGAGTCCCTCAGTTGTGGACTACATCACATCTACTTTTTGAAGCTCCTGCACTTAAAACAAAAGAGGAATTGATATAGCTTCCTGAAAATGAAAGCATCTACAAACCAAGACTTCCCTCCTGCTCGAAACTATGTGAATCCTTTGGCTGTGATGGTAAACATAGTCATGGTTCATTGGCTTATACATCATGATGTTTCATCCCACCCCTTTGGCTTAAATACATAATTAAGATTCTTCATCTCTTATCTGTGAAAACACTCACAGTAACTTTCTCTCAGCTAAATTGCTGTTTCTCAGTCGAACCGTGTCCCATGACAGTAACCCCAGTTTACATAAACTCCCCTTTTGTTTACAATGACCCTGGGATATCTCGCCTTTTATCCCTCCATCAGCACATACAGGGTAAACACAGGGTGGGAGTGCAGGTTGAGGGAGGGCTGTGAGGAGAGATTGCCTTGGGTAGGGAGGGTTTACTGTCTGGGGAGTTCTCTCTTTAGTTATTCTCTCTCTCTTTCTCTCTCTCTGTCTCTCTCTCTCTCACTCACACACACACACACACACACACACACACACACGTCTTGTTCTGTTCAGCATTGGACAAATCTGTGTCTGAGCCCTGCATCCTAGGCTGTCATTAATGGATCACTCTTTCTTGCATCACAGTTCCCAGAGGTTTACTCATGCCAAAGGAATCTCTGTCAGCGCCCTGACAGATTTTCCCGCATCATACCTTTTTCATTCGTGCTCTTGTTCTTTCCATCAATGAGATTTTCTAACGTGTAGCGCTAGTTAAAGCCCGGAGGTTGACGAATATGTGGCTTAAAAGTTGAGAAAGTCCAGCTTTTCTTGAACTTTTCTGTTTGTGCTATTCGGTGCGTTTCACTTGGGCAGCACACACCACACATTTTGACTTGTCATGGCAAGAAAAGCACAGGTCTTACTAATAACATTAACAAGGCTCAGTATTATTCATCCTTTCCAGTAAAACATCACAGTGTGAGTGTACCAGTATGCACAATAGCAGTACCTTGAAACCAAAGCATCACTATTGATTAATCTGTCAAGTCTTCATATGGTTGTTTATTGCAACCAGCAGTCAATGCAATGATATAAAACAAAGGAAAGCACCAAATTGTATCATTGGAGAAGCTGGATTCAACTATTCTCAACTATCACTTGCTTTTGATTAATTACTAGCCTAACAAACTTGTTGCAATTTCATTTTCAATCGACTGACTGATTAATCTTGACTAATCGTTTCAGCTCTACATTGCAGGAGTTGTTTTAGTGACAAAGCACTGACATTTTCTATTTTTTTTTTTACATTTTATTTGATGTAATCACTTTCCTCCAGCTTGCTTCCTACATATCCCAGAGTGCCATTCACTTTTCTGTCAGAGAAACCTGAACTTGTGAACATCTAGTTTTACATTTTCACTAAACATCAATACTTTCTGGAATCAGCTGAATGTTGTCCAGAGCCCAAAGTAAAAAGCTGGCATCAGATGTCCTGTGCACTCGCTCTCTGATCAGGTAGTTCCATGACTGTGACAATTTTAGATTTTATTCAAGCAAAACTCTTGTACGCCTGCTTGTGTTTTAACATTTGCGAAAGTTGGTTTCTCTTGTTAAATGAAAAAAAAAAACAAAAAAAAAACAGCTCAAAACAAGGTGTTAAAATTTTTTTTTTATTTGGAGTTAGTCCTGAAAGTTGGATTGTAATTTCACCAGTTATAAAATTTAGTAACAGGCCTCGTTACTTGTGGTGCACAAAACCAGTTTATCAGCTTTTTCTATACTGGATTTCTCCTAATCCTTAAGCCTCTAGATCTGGAAAGGAGTCTGAGAGTTGGTTCTGTGGGACCAGCGCCAGAACTTGACATGTACAGCTGATGATGGAGATTGCTGAAAAATCTTCTGCTTATAAAGCTGCCATTGTAGTCTCTGCAAACCATTTTAAACTGACATCAGCTCATCAGGCAATTTCCCACAGGAATGCAGGAAAATAGACCACGAAACAACAGAATGAGCCAAGAAATGCAATGTCCAATACCACTAGCTTTTAGTGTACAGTACTAAAATATTTTTGGGCCATTTGTTTTCTTTTTTAATAGTCAGCATCATTTACTTACGACAGTAAATTAATGACGTGATTAAGAATGTAAAGGCCTATGCTGTTGCTATTTTCTTGCAGGTGACACTGAGCATACGTGCACGCTAGCTGCATGATTAGTTTTGTTGTAGGCGTTGTCACCCAGGTGTCAGGCAGGATTTATCCCTTTTACTCACAGAAACAGAGCGACAGTTGTGTAACAGCCAAAACTCCCTCCTCTCACCTGCTCTTCCCGCTCACAGACTTGGACTGTGATGACAGCTTCCTGCCGAGCCAGCAGGAGCCACATGCGGCAGGTCCAGAGGTCGCTGCAGGGTAGTCCACAGCATTTCATCTGTCAAATGACAGTGTGCTCTTTGCCCAGATGTAAGCATGGGGCTATAATATGTCAGTTTTTATCTGTTTTAGGGAAGCAAAATGAGTGCACATAAACATTTACAATACAGCATGGCCTTTGCTGTAACTTCACTAAACCATTGCAGCCATTATTTCCTCTCTCATACAATCTAGTTGTTTTTCATTCTATTAAAATGAGAGCAGTACTTCTGTTTTTTTTTTTTTTTTTTTTTTTTTTTTTTGATTAGAGCCAAAATGTGTCTGGGCCAGACAGAGCAAGAAAGTGGCAAAAAGTAGGGACCTCTGTGTCTCCACTTTGACAATAAAAATAGGAAAATTACTTATGCTCTCTGGAAACATTGTGTGCATAAGATACTGATGCGATGATGTCAGGCCTGCTACTGAACAGAAAGTTTAAAAGCCTGGAGATTTGGTTGTTTAACTGAAGCCACAGCCTATAATTGTGGTCAATAAAAAAATATATGTGACTTATCCTGCTATTTCATGAGGCTTAATAGCCAGTTTTGGTCTCATGCCCTCCGCACATGAGAGGTAACCACTTACAGTAACTGAAGAAGCATTTTGTCATCTGGATTGGAGATAACCCTCCGCTCAGTGTCATGCCACTGTGTTTATTGCAGTGCAGCTCTTGTATGGTACACTACAGTGTAGTTCAAGGTCACAGTGGAATGTATGCTGAGGTGTGCATGACTGATTTCACAACTTACTAATCCTCTGAAGCTTCATAGTCTCGTAGACAGGTGTGTCGGATCGTAAACTCTGACTGTGAAAGAGACAAAAAAACAAAATCCCACACGGTATTGATCTCTCTCTCTTAATAGCTGAAGAAATATAATATTGGAAATAGAGTGAGAACAAGTGATGGGCAGAGAAATTAATAGAAAACAAAAAGGGGGATAGTTTTTGGAGATATAAGTCCTTAATTTATTTATTTTTAATTTTTATTTATTTTTTTGCCCAATTGGAGATTCGGCCTCAGCCTGCAGAGCTATCACACATTGCATGTTTGCACTGGTAGTACACAGTAACCCAGAGAGCAGTCCCTATCAAAACTGGGTCAGTTTGCTTTCCATTCATCCAGTAAAAAAATAAAAAAAAATGTAAAAAATAAAAACTCCACATATATGTTATGAAATGTTTCTGTTGTCATTGATTTGAGTGGCCTGAGAGTGACTTGACCTCTCCTCGGCCTCTGTGGATTAATTCTGCGTTGCACATTGCCCCCCCCCCCTTTACAGGGCAGTTTTGCTCACGCGCTCCATGTGTGACATGTTTTCCCTATAGTGCCCTTGCACTGAATGCATAGTGACAGGCAGCAATCAGCGTTCACACCCAAACAGAGCATGCCACTGTCGGAGCTCTTTTGTCCGGTATGTAGCTGGTGCAGTATAGCTGTTGTCAGTGTTGACTTTATGCATTTGTGTACACACTGCTTAGCCTCACTTTTCCTTTTAGCCACTCACCAGCGAGGGGTCCTGACAGGGACAAGGTCATTTTACAGGGCTACTGGGTTCTATTGCTGCTATTTGGGAGCTGTGTTACGCTGTATGCTGTTTCAGGAACAGATTGGTCAAACTTTAAATAAGCTTAGGCCCAGGTTTTAGTGAGACAGAGACATAATGACAACATACTAACATGTTGCAAAGGCAGTAGTACAGTTGTACAGGGGGACATGTATTAAAGGGGGACTCCACTGTTTACTGGTTCACAAGGAATACTATTCATTCAGTGAAAACTCTTTATCATGTCTGTATCATGTATTTTGTGGCTCTGCATGAAGCTTTGAAAAGTTTGAAAAAATAACCCTGATGATGTCATCGGCCATCAGCTAGAGGCTACATTAGCTGCTACTAGCATAACACCACCAAGTGAACTGTTGGTGGTTGATTTGTATTGTGGGTAATGTAGGCATCAGGTTTTGACAAGGAAGTTGTTTTTTTTTTAAAGTCAATTGTCTTTCCAGCAATGTTATAAGAGTGCAATGCAATGCTACTGTATATTTGTGGAGCAAAGAATCATTTTTGACAAGAGAGCCTGCACTACAAGCTGGAGGTTTGAAGTGTCTGAAAGAAGTGGGCATTTAGGTGGCAGAGAGGGTTAAATGGCAGATGTTATTGAGTTGCATCATAAATTCTTGCACTACGCCTTTTGAAGAGTTAAACAGCATTTTATGCAAAAAAATTATAATACTACTTCCATCCAAATGTAGTGCAAATTTTTACTGTAACAAGAAGAAAAACATCAAAAGAAAAAGTAAAATTAATGGTAAAGATTTTCAACTAGCAAAGAATTTTTTTCCAATCTGATGTTCTTATGAGATACCAACAGGTTTCCTTGATATGTCATTTGGGTACGCCGTAATATCTTCACTACACAGAACACTTTTTTTTTTTTAAAAGAGTTAAAGATGATCACTGAAAAGTCCTATTTTGTCATCTCAGCTTTTCAAGTAGTAAACAACATGGCAGCTAATGAAATGCTTGGATGAAATCTGTGGTCTGTGTGTGACCACTCAGTTGGCAGACTGTCCCTGTAGACAGTGGGATTTCTTTCTGGCATCAACAGTACAAACAGTGTTGTTTGTATTTACTGGATTCACTCACTTCATACAGCAGGACTTAAACTGTTTATTGACTGACTTCTATCTGGATTAGATGAAATTAAAGACTCAAGTGAAATGAATAGAGGTGGCTGTAACTTCAGTGCAGCCTCACACTGACAGAAGGAGTGATAAGACTTTGCTGATGTGAGATAATCCGACACCAGCAACGTTCTGTTGTGTTGTCGGACATGCATAACTCTCTCACAGTGGTCTGACTGTGTGCATGTGCGTGTGTTTGTGTTATGGCCAGTCAGCTGTTGCTGGTTATTGCTAATCTGTGGTTGATAATTAGCATTGCAGGCTGATACACAGGAGTCCTCGAGTCCTCTAGGATCAGTCTGAGAGTTGAGGGTATGGATAGTCATTACATAACACACACACACACACACACACACACACACAAACAAAGACGTGATGCTGAACTGCGTCTCTGTTCATTCCCTGTCTGCTATCTTATTCTCCAGAGGCGCTCTCCTCCCCACAATCAAGCTCAACAAAACAGTTTTTTGTTCTTTGATGTGGCTCTCAGGCTGAACACCATGCTCTCTTTTTCTGCATCTGCTGATTTTTTTTTTTTTTTTTTAATCTATAGTTGGTGCTCTTCTTACTGTCTCACTCTCTTTTGGTTTGTTTGCACATTGTGTTTGTTTAGGCTTTTGTTTGTTACATTTGACAAACTGCAATGTTGACATGAAAGCCTGGACTTTCATCCTGAATGTCTCTCTCTCTCTCTCTCTCTCTCTCTCTCTCTCTCTCTCTCTCGGCTCTGCTGTGTTGATAGTGTATCTGAGTGGACTTTAGCTGCAGGTCAGACGGCAAATGCTTGCACTGATGTTTGTTTGGATGATAATGTAACTCAGTGTGAAGCTCTCTCTGCCTTGTTTTCCCTGGAGGTTGACAGCTTTTTCTGGACAGCAGTGGCTTCACAAAGCACCACAGTGCATAATAAGAGGAGCAGGACAAACGATCAGTGCAGTAACATGTCGTCATGTGCTCTCCTGAGATGCTGGAGCAGAGATGGATTGTTTCTTTACCTCACGTGACCTCTGAACTCTTCTGCTTTCTGCCAGTTCAACCTTTTTACACATGAACACATGTCTGTAGAAGTCTGTCAACTTTAAAACAAACCATTTTATTTCAGTCTTTTAGAACACCCAGTTGTTTTTGTCATTTATTGGATATATTTTCTTCTTCTATAGTTTCACTGAAAACTGTCCTGCACTGAAGAGAGTGTATTGTAAGCCGTTGTGCTGTGGCTATTGAATTGTTCCTTTTTTTGTATTGAAAAAAAAAAAGTCTAATATGAATTTTAACAGAAACTTGCCAGCAAATGAAGTATTTTCCACGACCTTTAAACCATGCTTAATGGAAAATACTCGTCCCTGATTGGCCATCAAATGTCTAGTAAAGTCATATTATTTTTACACAGAGGGACTCTTGGTGCATGATGTGCAGCTAACTTTTCTCTGCATCTATTTTCTTCACTTTCTAATCCTGCAAGCATTTCTTGAGCTGTGCTTGTTGCAAGACGACCTCCTTTACGATGAACTCCTGAGGTCAGTGTCTTTTTGCTACAAAAACATAGCTTTTGGGTGTGTGGGAGCATAAAAGCTGCAATCTTTAATGTGTTGAAAACAAACTGCTCCTTTTGAAATACTCTTGGTATGTTTCTGTGAAAGGGTTTTGATACCATCTTCGGTCTTTGGTATCATCTTTGGTAAGATCAGGCACTGACATGATATACACATTGAAAGTATCCACGTGGTAGTTCTGTAATTCTGCATCAGGCACACGTCTGTGTATGTGGTGTTAGTGCTTTCTCCTTTGAAATGCGTTAGTATCACACACTCTAACTGCATAGACTGTAGGAAATTGCATGACACATGGGCCGTTGATCCCCTTCCTTTTCAGATCAGTGACATCTATCCTTCAAGTAGGGGATGGGCGTGCAAGTTTCACTCTTTTCTCTGCACTTAGCACTTTGTTATTACTTTGTTCCATCGGTCACAAACCAGAAATAACCTTTGACAGACCCATTAGGGTCAGATAAAATAAAATGGTTAAGAATAAACTCTTGTTTATTCTTGTTCACAGACCATTACGTCCTTATGAAGGAAGGCATTTCACTAACAATCATCTATCCATCATTTTATAGAAGCAGATTTCACTTTTTACCCAAGTGTGAGGATAATGAACCAGTAAACTTAATTTACAAATTCAGTAGTTATTTGATGATTAAAAATACATTTATATGAAAACTATGTATCTTCTGTGAACATTAGTGTATTCTATATCCGTGGACACCTCTCTGAAGCTGCACAAGACACTGACGTTTTACACTTCCTGTCGTTCTCTGTTCCCTCTATCTGTCCATGCCTCCCTTTCTCTCCCCCACTCCCTTGTCTCTCTCTCTCGATGTCACTGTGCCAGTCGTTATTTGGAAGCCCTCACTCATATCTCTGCTGTATATTTATCTCTCTGCTTCCACTCTGCCTGCGCTTCCTGCAGCCTAATAAGGTATGGATACAAGGAGAGAGGCAGGGCACAGGGGCCGAGGGAAGATGGTGGGAAAAAGGTTGGACAATAGGAATCAGAAGTATTTTCCCACAAATTGGTTTTGGTCTGTGCACACATGCGTGTTTCTGCAAGCATGCTTGTTGTTGCATAAAGAGAGACCACACAGTTGAGGGTGAAACGGCGAAATAGAATAAAGCCAACAGGATAATATAGGCCTTTAGGCCAACATATTCCCAAACGCTGGGAAACACTTTGATGTAGGAGATTGTAAACACTATGTAATGATATTTGCCCGGATAAACGCACATGAATATGACACACAGAACAAAAAGTACAACATGAAAGTACTTCAAAGTCTGTTCTGATGTTTCTGCAGAAATTTTGTGGGCAATTTCTCACTGTAGTATTTCAACGATTGTTCTAGCTCTTTTCATTTACTGTCTCTCTGCTGATGCACATCAAAAGCCTCCAGTTGAAAAGACTATTATTTATCACGCTGGTGTTCACACACACACACACACACACACACACACACACGCACACACACTAAGAGTCCTTTGCTAAGAGAAAGAGCCTGAACTACCAACCACAAACCACCACCCACATCCTGTATTCTCTCCTCTTTCACTGTTGCTTCCTCTTTACTGGGAGGTGTTTTCTCCATCATGAACTGGGGCTTCTGAGTTTTAAAGTGCATATGCCTTTTTACTCAGCCGTGATATCCCCTCTGTGACCTGTCACCTGATCCACCCCGTACTATACGCCTTCAACCGTGCAGCAGATTAGATTACCACAATATTCACTAAACTCAGTCAGCCCCCCCGCCACCCCCCCTGCCACCCCCTGCTCTGTACCTCTCATTAACTGCCTCCTCTGTCTCGGCCTTTTAGAAATGCCCCAACATAACATGGAGAGCTCCAGGAGCCAGTGGCAGCAGGGGCTACGGCCGCCATGGATCGCCAGAGTGGCCGGAGGTCAGAGTCCCGCCTCCTCAGGGGCGGAGTCAGATACAGAGAGCAGCAGCACAGAGAGCGAGAAGGTAAGTGAGTGAGGCGAGGCTGTCGGTGATGGCGATGTAGTGACAGACTCTTTACATGCCAGACTGTGTGTTGGTGGCACAGGAAACCAGCTCCTGTAAGAAGAAGGAAGCATCTTCTTACATGCATTGAAACCAGTGACTCACACCACATTTCTAGACTAAACTCTTTACTACTTTGAAGCTTTCATCTGGTGACTTTGTATTTTCTTTTTTCTCAGTCCTGCATTAGAAAGGTGGAGGTGGGCTCATTGAGGGTCCTGCCATCGGCCTCAATGCTCCAACAGCGAATCGCAGAGATCGACCAACAGAAGGAGGAACTAAAGATTGAGGTGAGCGTGTTAAACGCGTGTTAGACGCGTGTTGTCCAATCACAGATGGACACAAAAACCACCAATCGTCTTAATTTGTCACAAAAATGTGCAGCAGACGACTGGAGGAATTGAAACAGGTAAAATAATTAATCAAGCCAATCAATGGAAAGTTGAGTTGATTGAGAAGAAGTATCTGCAGCTTTTTTGCTTGAATGCTAGTTAAATGAATCTTTGGGGTTGGGACTGTTGTTTGGATAAGATGAGCTATTTAAAGATCTGACTCAAGTTCTAAGAAACTGACCTTTCTTTTTTTTCTTTTTTTCATGGATGATCAGTTGAGAAGATGAATCAATAATGACAATAATCAGAATGAAGTGGAAGAAATGTTGCCATCTGTTGCATAACAACAGGTGGTTAAACTTTTATTACAGGTTTTTTTTTCCTTTCCCTTTTGATGCACTATGACTGCTGCAACAAATTAACAACCACGACAGAGCGTTCACGGAAAACACTAAAGTGATTTCAATTGCGTCGCTGCTGAAGTCTGCATTTTTAAATCTCCACGCCATTTCCAAACACCACCACAGTCACGGTAAAGGAATGCATATCTCTGACTTGCTCAAGCTCTGGTCAATATGATTCAGCTCAGTCTCCAGTCTTCTGTCCTCGCAGCTGCAGCTGGAAATCGCCCTGCTCCAGGGCGAGCTGCAGACGGAGAGGAACCAGCTGCACAGACACACACAGAAGCTGCAGGCTCTACAGCACGAGGCCAGGCAGAAAGAGAAACACAGACACACCGACAGACGAAAGGTAAGATAAACTCATTTAGTATTGTGTAATATATGATCTGTTAAATTTAGTTTTTCATTGCTTACAGCAATAGAAGTAATGAGTTTGTGTCATGTCTTTATGATTCATGACCAACTGAATTTCTTTCTTGGAGACAAAACTAATATGTGTTGATGTAACGTTTAATGGCTTATTGTAGAGATCACAATCACAACAGAAAAAGTAAACTTAAAGGATTCCACAGAAACGTGTGGGCTTGGTAATGTTCCACTAACATCAAAACAAGATCCTTTTAATGATAAGTCAGTTCCCGTGAAATGATTGTTGGATGTCACAGGCTCCAGGACAGCGCTGGTTGAAGATAAATGTCTCTAGTTATCCTGTATACATGGTTGTGAAATAGTTTATTTTTCCCTTTTGAAATGGTTTTTGTTTTGCTTTAGAAAATTACGTGAGAACTGTACTCTTGCTTCACTCCTTTTCTCGCCACGTCTGCTACCACAGGAGCGAGAGAGTCTGGAGGAGGAGAGACGTAGGGTGGAGGAGCTGAAGAGGAGGTGTGAGGAGAAGGAGAAACTGATCCCCAGTCAGCCAGAGAGCCAGAGAGCACAGCTAACCCTGCAGCTGCAGCAGGTGAGTGTGTGTGTGTGTGTGTCTGTGTGACACACACATACATATATATATATATATATATATATATATATATGCAGCATGGATGACAACTTGGGTGAATACCACACATATGTACAAAAGTTCAGCTTTGTCAAAACATCCACTAAACTATCAGGGAAGGGTTCATCATCACTGCCTGTGCAACACTGGAAACTCTTCTGTGGAAATATATTAAACACAAACAGACTGCCATCTGTAACCTGACTTGTAAGCTTCCCAGGAATCATGGGAATTAAACTAGCCAGGTGATGTAATCTAAATACAAAATCTATTAGATTAGGAGTGATTCAGTTGCAACAACCAGTGTCTATTTCCTACTTTGAGAGGAGTAAATCATATTTAGAAACACATGAAGGCGGTGCTCTAGTGGTGAAGATTTCTAACATGGCCCAAGAAAATCTTTGGAATTTTTTTGTTTCAAACAACAATCAACAATTTATTGATCAACGCTCTTAAGTCTTTAAGCCCTGTGGCGTATCTGATGATCCTGAACATGTTTAGAGGATACTGACAGTGTAATAATAATCACGTTGGTGGCAGTTATCCAGGTGAAACCTAAAACGTGCCGGAGTGTCGACATGTTGTCATCAGTGTTGACTCCTTTAAATGATGTTTTTTTTTAGCTGCACAATGTGAGCTTGTTCAGTACCTGTTTGACCTGATGTGTCAGTGTTTCTGAAGTTTACACACACACACACACACACACACACAGATGTGTATTGTATTTCGTAAATGTGACAGAACAAGATGAGACAGCGCTGTGTTTAGAAAGCAGTGTTTTAATGACATGTTTGGTGAAGTCCAGCAGCAGGTTGTTACTGTATGTTGTGACATGTCAGGTTTATTTTGAAAGAGCTTTTAGAAACAGGTTTGACACAAATTGCTTCACAGAGAAAACCACACTTATGCACACAAATAGGAGACTTACATGGAAGACTAGAATAAACACTGCACAAGAAACGACGGCAGGTATCCCATTTATAGGACAGAGAGGCTCCTAATGACACAATAAGGCTGTGTGACTTTTTACTTACTTTATTTAAATAACAAACTTTTAATCAGGTGTTGAAGATCTTGGAATTTTAGTCAAATCTAAGCAGTCAGAAAATGCAGTAAACTCTATCAGACATTCAACTAACAATCATTTTTCATTATCAGTTTATCTACCGATCATTTTCTCGATAAACGGATTAAGTGTTTGGTCTATTAATTGGCTATCACAATTTCCTAGAGGATAAAATCAAGGGCAGTCAGATCAGACTTTCTCTCTGTCTCTGTTGCAGGAGAAAGAGGTGATGGAGGCAGCAGCTCGGGCCTTTGAGGACTGGGAGTTTCGTGTTCTGGAGCGAGAGAGCGGCATCGATGAGGAGGACGAGAGAGCGGCGGACAAGGAGAAGGAGGGAGAGAAAGACGGGGCAATGGAAAAGGAAATCTCATGTCAGCAGCGCGTGGTCAGCACAGCGCAGGTAAACGATCTGTTTTAGAGAATTTCACAGCCGCTGTCTGATGTGTTGCACGGGTTCGCAGCTTATCTGCATGTCATGCTCCTCATGCCATCGTTTACACTCGCTGGCTGAGGTGACATTAACCCTCACACACACACACTTCCCCTCAGTTCAGAGATGTGAGGTTAGAGTTAGAGTGGGTGCAGAAAGTAACAGGAACGCCCTGCAATCTAATGCGATCCAACACAACACCCTTGCAAAAAAAAAAAAAAAGAAAGAAAAAAAAGAAATTCACATCAGTGAAGTTCATAAAGCTCAGTTTTAAAGACATTGTACTTGGTAATTCTACTTTGTAATACATTTCTCTTATTGTAATCTCACCCTGGACACATACGTACAATGCTAAACAAGATTTTACTGTATCTGGATAGAAGTGTAAATGTGCACCTTAATTAAAACTCTCACTTGAGTTTCTGAAAGTTTGTTTCCTTCGGTATTTGTGTAGGAACCCACCACCCTTATCCACCTCTACTTCTCCAATATTGATTGATTTTTCTTGCGCAGCTGCCCACCTCTTCCCATCTCTATTATCTGTGACCAGTAATTGACACAAAAAGTCATATATTCATTAGAGTTAAAATAAGGAGAGGGCAGACCGGAGAGTGAACTCTGAAGCCACAAATCTGTGTTCCTCTAATAATAATCAGAACTGTTGGCATTTATTTCCAAAGCTATGCTGTAGCATTGTTGTTATTAACTTACTGGCCTTTAGGGACTTAATGCCACATTGGATGGCTAGTCAGGGTGGGAATTAGAGTGCACACACACACACACACACACACACACACACACACACTCTCTCTCTCTCTTTTCCCGTCACAGTCCATGGTTGTCACTGCAGTTTCAGACTTGCCCTCCCTCCCTCCCTCCTCCACTGTCAATTGCTGACATGAACATGAACTCTTTACCTCACACTCGCCAGCATCACCGTGACGCTGTCACATGACTCTGCACAGTGAGAATAATTACATCAGAGGCCACCAGGATAGACAAATCAAAGATCAAGACAGAGTGGAGGAGGAGGGACGGGGGAGGGGATTTGGAAAAGTTTGGATCAAGTCAACGCAGTCATGGCTTAAAAGATAATGGGGATTATTTTGTTCAACATGGAGATAACAGTTATTTATCAATGTTATTTTGGGAACAAAATACAATGCCTGTGATTCAGGAGTTTACTGGACAGAGAACAGAGAGGCCTTGGTTGGACTTACCAGAACAGGCACTCTGAATGCACAGAGACAATATAGCTCCCAGCTAAGTCTGATTTACTGTGGAACCCAAGATAATTATCATATTTTTTTATCAATTTATTCAGCAGCTTCATAGTAAAGAAAGTCAAGAAATGCAACAAACTGCGAGACCGTAAACCTCTTCAGATCAAGATGATCATTTGAAGAGGCCTGGAGTATTTTGGCACTAAATTTACCATCACAGTGACACGCCGACTGTTGAAACACCGGCACCTTAATGTGTACTTTGTTTAGATGCTGATTGTACTGACTTAACTATATGTTGTTTTCAATCTCTAATTCAGGGTCTGAGCTTCAGATTGTTTGTACACAATCGCTAAACATGACAGTGATGTGCATTTTTACGCTCACCTCACATGCTCGTTGCAACACTTTCTGTGTTGTCAAGTCACATTTACAAAGCTATCGTGATCGGCTATAAGCACCTACAGCCATGCAAGCACCTCTGTGAGCTCACAGTGACACTGCTGATGTTTAACAGGTGATGGGAACTTAGTTTTAATTCAGTACTGGACAAATAAATATTATGACCTGATGATGGAGTTAGTGAAAAATCAGGGTACCACCAGAGCTACTACAGCTCCTCCCACAGGGAACATGAGTTTTCATTTCAACCCATCTGATAGTTTTCAAGACATTTTACTCAAAACCACAATGCCCAGTCTCATGGTGGTGACAAAATATAAGTCAGGGATTCATCCTCCGGGGACCAAATCCACATTTGCATAAAATTTGCTAGCGTGGCTAAAAAGTGGTGGGCAGTGAATGCTGACAGATGCTTTGTTAATAAACTACTGTTTACAGGCCAGTAAAAGATCAAATGCACGTATCTAACTTATTTCTGAGGCTGCCTCCATTTGAAAGTGAGAACAATTCTGTACATGTGTTTTTTTTTGTTCACAATCTGACATATGAAATTTCAAAAGGCTGCTTTTCCATTCACGCCGGACTCCAAGGGAACATATAAATACAGACAAAATATAGATGGTGAAAATAATATCGAATTGCTGAGCGATTAGCTGGAGTATGTAAGAGGAGGAGTGCAGAGATGAAGAGAGGGATTGTGTGAGAGGGATGGTAGTTGACTCAGCTGCAGTGTGGCCTCGCTGCAGAGGACAGCTCATGTCTAAACCCTCTGTCTGTCTGTCTGTCTGTCTGTCTGTCTGTCTGTCTCTCTGTCTCTCTGTCTCTCTGTCTGTCACTCACTGTGTCACATTAAGGTGCTGATTTAATATTGGTCCATGATTTTCTTTGAGTTACACTCTCAGCCCTGCTGTCATGCGTCTTGTCTCGTGCCTCTCATTGACTTGCAAAGTGGATGTTTGATTTGCATTGTATCTCGGCTGAAAAGATCGACTTAACTCAGGGCTCTGCGTTTCCTCACACAACACACACACCCTGTCACATCAGGGATATTTACCTCATATTACATCACAGCATAATGAAAAGATTAAGTAAACTCGGGCCAGCCAGATGAATCAGCTGCAGCACAGGACATTTCTTTTGAGGAGGAGAAACCATATGGCAGTCCACGCTGACAGGAGTTATGTTCTGAATTATCAGGAGCGAGTCCAGCAGTTGGAGAGAGAGCTGAAGGAGATGGAGAGGGAGAAGGAGAGGGAGCTGAACGCCTTGAGGAAAGAGAGGAGAGGACTCATCCACACAAATCAAACGGTAAGAGGGATTGGTTAATGTTGTAGACTACTAGTACTTAACTTGCTACTTAGCAACAAACAGTAATATTTTATTGTGGTGGTTCATTCATTAGTCTGTCATTGATATTTGATACAGCTTTGAAACAGCTTTTCGAATTTAGCAAAAAGAAGTGAACCAGCACATATTGAAAATGGCGACTGTGTGAGAAATCAACCTCTAATTCCCGGTTTTACATTGAACTGAAAAATGTTTTGATTCACTCAGCAGAAAGCTTTTATTTTAGCAACAAAAAAAAAGCTCTAATAAAGTCACTGAACACTACTTGCTCAGCATCAAACAGCAGTGATGCAGAATCGGCGACTGGCTGATCAACATAGTGGAGTATTTAGCAGCTAAAGAGCCTCTTATTCCCCTCAGGAGTTGGTGCGAGACCAAAATGGAGCTAGAGGAGAGTGAATATTGGGCTTAGATTCATCAGGCTGGTGAAAACAAGGATCCAAATGAATGTTAATGTTGCTCCATGTCTGTAGGATGGTTACAAATTCAACTGTTTGCTATGGAGTTCGCCAACTTCATGACGGGATGAACTGATTATGTCAGTGTTTGTTACAGCTAGTTGCGCTGCTAACCGTAGCGTAACTAGCTCAGATGTGCTAACAAGCTAACTTACTGAAACTGATACAGTGATATTTCATTCTAAGTACATAAGAGAAGCCTTATATAGCATATTGTTTACCAGTTGAGCCTCTTGAGATGAATCATCTTGTGATTTAAATTTTCCCACAATGCTGCATAAAAATGGATGAAAAATCGAATCAAACTACTGTCTTTTAAACTTTGTCTTTCATCTCTTTTTTTCACCGGACTTCAGCTCAGTTTTATCAGAAACATGCTCTGACTGTTTGTAGGCTAAAATTTAAAGGACAGCCCACACCATGTGTTATCAGTGTTTATTATGAATACTTGCTGTTCCAAAGTATGTGATTTACTCAGTCACTAATTAAACTGTGCTGTGACTTTATCACACAGCCAGCGGTTTGCCTTTGATCAGACATACGACCGCACCAGTTAAAATGAGGAGGAGACAAGATGTGAATGGAGAAAAAGCAAATCAGACATGGAGAGAGTGAGCGAGAGAGCTTAAGTTAAGCTGGAGGGAGGGGAAGGAAGGGATAGAGGGAGGAGTGAGCAATGAGAGGGAGGGTGCTGCGTTTGTGAATGTGTGTGTACATGTGAGTGCGCGCGGATGTGTGAGAGGGAGAGAAGGCGAGCTGGGAGAAGTTTCACATCCTTGCAGCGAGCGGTAAGCTACGAAATCTGCACTCAAAATCAATCTGCATGGCTGACGGTCGTTCATGTTGTTTGTCAGAAAACTGCCTCAATGTTTAGTTCATGTGCTCTTCTAAGTGAGAGAAGAGAGACAGCTGGGGGTAGGGCAGAAGGGAGTGGCAGCACAGAGGAGGAGAGAGGGACAAGACGGTGTCAGACAACATGACCAAGTATGTGTGACTACAGTATGACTGTGAGAGCTCATCGTGTCTGACAGAAAATGACATAGACAGTAGATAGTTTTGGGAAAATGAATCTGATTGGATCTGACTGTAGCAACAAGGGACACTGGAAGCATTTGTAACAGATTTTACTCTAAGATATCAACTAAATGTTGGAGAGAACAGTTACATAAAAGCTTTTAAGTCTTCATTTTCATACATTCCCTGTGGGCAAGTGCTAATGTAGAGTGGTGATAGAGACAGATAAGGGTTAAACACTGGACTGCATGTGGCGACTGAATTGCTCATGTGTTTGTGAGTCAAGCAGGGAGGGAGGGAAAGATAGTGAGGCAATGATAATTTTTTAACTCATTACGATCCCTCTTGGAAGTGGAGTTTTCATTCTCAGCCAGATGTGGTGTGTCTAGCCCTCGTCAGTCACTGCGTTTGTGATCTTCCCCCCCCGCCGCGGTTCATATAAGCTGTTGGTGTTTGCGACCTCGCAGCGGGTTTTCATCGAAGATGCGTGACTGAATTTCGAATGAAATCTAATGTACTCCCACAGGTTCACAAAGAAAAGAAGCCGCTCACCGATTGGTCGAACATCACCGGCTCTGCCCCCTGCATGATGTCACTTTCCCCTCTGACCGTTCACAAGCCCCCTCAGGTATGCCACCTGTCACCATGGAAACAAGAGGGCTAGAAATTTACAGTTATTTTCATTATGGACAGATTTCTTGTTTTGTCCGTCCTGCAGTCCAAAACTCAAAGACACTCAGTTTCATATAACAGAAGGCTAAAAGAATAAGCAAATATTGACATGTGAGAGGCAGGTGCAGTGAGTTTTCAGTATTTATTCTTACAAAACGATCAATTGATTATGAAAATAATCAAGAGACTAATCTTGTCATAGTTTAAAAACATTTTGAGATGAAGTTGAAATGTTTGTCACATGCACACTCTGTTCTCTTATTTTGTAGGAGCCATGCAAAGAATCTGCCAGTTTGCCCAGAAGACGGAGCTCGCACCGCAACAACAAACTTAACGACAGGCCGCTCTCAGCACAGGGTGAGCTATTCTCCTTTTCTGTTACCTATTGTGCTCCTGATTGCTTAAGCTGAGAGGGTTAGAACAATAAACACTCGCTCTCTCTGCACTCATGCCCTCGTTTTGTCCGACTGTTTGTTCAGTTCCCTCCCTTTTAGTCAAATCAAAGGTGTGTCAGTAGAGTCGCCATGTTGTTATTACGTTTGCAGAGAGCAGGATTTACCTGCACAGACCGGATGAGCCAGAGAAGCGCCCCTATACTTAAGTCTAGAGACTCCTCAGTGGTATCTGTGAACATAATCACACACCTATCAGTCACCAAATGTCAGAGTAGCCTGATGTGCAGGGTCATGTCAAGTCATGCCTTCCCTTCACTTGCAGTGATCTGTTCCTGAGTGCTGTAACTGAACGCTCTTGATCTCATGTGTTTTATCAACTTCATACACTTACATTACTTCTCCCACACCTTACATAAAGCCATTCGTGCTGACCGACTCATTTTGTTTCTCATGTGTCTTTTTCTATCATCTCCTTCCTCTCTCAGGGTTGGTGAGGACGCTTCCAGACAGCCAGACGCCAGAGGCTTTCACTTCCCCGCCTCCCTCCCATAGACTCAGCAACGGACACAGCAGTGGGCACAGACCTGGGACGAGCAACGGCGGCGGGCTCCTCACTCCGTGCAACAGTACGACAAGCTCTCGAGCTGCCAGGTCAGTTACTTCACTGCTCGTTTGATTAACACAAGGAGTGGCTTTTTTTTAATATTTATTTATTTTATTTCTTGGACGAGGATGATGGTTTACATGAAACAGCATGGGCAGGTATTGATATAGTTTAGCCTTGTCTTGTCTTGTGAAGTGTCCTTCATATTAAAGATAAACATCTCAGGTTTTATTTTGGTAGTTTTGGCCATCATTCCTGTTCTTTTATGATAATAATATAATAATAAACACTTACCAAAGAAACAAACACCACACATTGCCGCAACAACCATGAGCAGTTCGACCATCAGATGGGGAGAGAACAAGCCAACAGTTCAACCTGAGCACCTCAAGCCCTTCATTTGGAAGTAAAACTAAAAGTGAGCACACCTGAAATGTCAGTAATAACTGTGTGCACTCGAGCTCAACAGGTCAACACACAGTTTGTTACACTGATCTTACACTTCGCTGTTGTTTCACCTTCCAAAACACCAGTATGATTGTTTACCCGTTCATGCTTCTTCCCGGGTTGGATGTTTTTTAAGCACCAGACCAGACCAACCACATATATATCCTACATGTAAATTTGCTTATACGGACCAAAATCATGGAAGTTGTTATTGACAGGCTTTCTTTATGGCAAATTAACATTTGTTTTGATATTTTTTCCACTTCCCACCTATTTTGCATGTTTGTGACTGATCCATATACTGTATGTTTTATTGTAATACCAGTTTTAACTTGAACAAAAAGGCACGATCGTGTGTGACCAATGCGGTGATTGTGTTCCCTTCAGTAATGAATCAATGTAACTCTTCCTCTCACAGCCCGTGCCTGTTGGATCTTGTGGAGATTGAGAAGAAACTGAGGGAAGCCAAGGCAGAGAGAGAGAGGCTGCTCAGAGAGAGGGTGAGTCACCTGCCGTGGGAAACACTAGCTGGCACCTCTAATCATCCGCAACACACTGCATTAGACACGGCTGTCTGATCACTGACACCCACTCAGCTCGCACATGATGGTCCAAGAAGACTGCCAGCAGATATGTGGATGTTTGTAATGCGTGTTTGCAGCATTGGGAAATGCCAAGGCTGAAAAATGTGCGGCCATATGATTTGAATTTATGTGTTTTGAAACTGGAAACAGGGGTTTTCACATATGGATACATATATCAATACAATTCTTTTAGTGCAGCATAATCATTGTCTTTTTTAAAGATTTCTTAACTTTAAAGGGGTCATAACCTATTTTGTAAGATGGGTAATAATTCTCTATGATTCATGCGTACATGCAGGAAGAGCGACGGCGGTTGTTGTTGGAGGAGAGAAGTCAGCGAGAGCTGAACTCTCCCAGAACAGAACCGCTGGAGCCAGAAACTCCACAAAGACCAGAACCAGATCCAAAGGAGGAACCAAAGGCCAGTTCTCCCCCAAACTCCCCAGAGGTATGTATGAAATGACAACCATCAGGTAGTGTTTAAGGACCACAGAAGAAGTCAGCTTCTTTCTGTGAACACAGCTCTGGTTATTAAGTAGCAGCTGCAGGAGATGGATTAAAAAATGATATTTAGAATAGATGCAACAGAGGCTGAGGTCTCCTAACGTTTAGTCGCTGAAATACGTCACGCTCTGAAAATGCATTTTTCCATAATGCAAATATCCTGTTCAGTCTGACCCTCAATGCCAGGTGAACACCCACGTCCTATTAAACGTTTCCCAGTTTTTTTTTAACACAGGCTTTCAATAAACCAAGAGGTTGTTACGAGAGCAATTTTTTTTTAAAGACTTGATGAAGCCACCAGTTATTATACAACTTGTTAAGTTGTTGTTTCAGAAATATGAACTTAAATCAGTCAGTTTTTGCAGTGTAGGAAAAGTAGAGTACATGTACATGTAAGGGAAACAACAGACACGTCCAGTATCGTTATCCAATATGATCAAATTTTTATCTTCTGATCACAGAAGGCTCAGTTTGTTTAGTGTAAGTGTAACCATGACTAAAGGGCACAGTTTCCTCACTTTCCATGGAAAATGGAGTGACTCTTTTCAACCACATTTAAACTCCATCTGTCCCTGCAGCAGCGCAGCCTGCCCCTCTTCCTCTCTCCGAACTTTGACCTCCGGGCCCACGTGGAGTCTTTGGGTCATGGGGTGGTCGGCTGCACAGACCTGCGGCTGACGCCTCGACGCTGCGCGGGCTTCCTGACCAAAAGAGGGGGGAGGGTCAAGACCTGGAAGAAGAGATGGTTCCTGTTTGACATGGACCACAGAAGACTAGCCTACTACACAGGTTAGACTGGCTGGAGGGGCGCTGTGTGCACACAATGACCACGTTTGCCTGAACTAAAGCCTGTCGAGCACGTTTTAAGATAATATTGCATCAGTAGCTTTGTTTTCCAGCTTCCATTCTCCATCTGTTTTGTTGTACTGTCTGAATCTCCCAAAACGGTTTATATTAAGAAAAAGCAACTTAAATTGTTATACATTTTTTAAAAAATATTTAATTTAATTTATTTACTACAGTTGAGAAATAGAAAGGAAGAGAGGAATTAAATAATAATAAATCTATTTTAAATTCATAAGAAAGTAAGAAAGAGTGGTAATAACGTAGATCCATAGAGTCCAAATGTCCTAATCTAACTTGCCTCTCCCTTTGCTGCAGACTGTGATGAGAGGAAGCTGAAGGGAGTCATCTACTTCCAGGCCATAGAGGAAGTTTACTACGACCATCTACGAACAGCCGCATCTGTGAGTTCTCACACAGTACACAAACTGACTTAAAAAAATCTATCAAAGTGTGTGGAGTGTTTCATCTGACTGAGAATCTGTGCCAAATCTCTGGACTTTGAATCCACTAGGAAACAGTTTGATAAATGCAGTTTAAACTGGACTTCAGGCTGCAGGGTGTTTGTCATGAGGAAAAGGGTCTGAACCAACATCATTGAGCGTGTTGATAAAGATTTCTATCTATAAAGAATCTGAGATTGTTGCAGCTTTAATCTTTTTAATGAATATTGAGCGCAGAATCACCTTGGGGCCTCATGTGATTTGAGAATTCACTCCGCATGTGTTACGTATTTACACAACATAAAGTTTGTTTTACGGCTTTGAGTTCGCTCCGTCTCCAGATGGGTCATTTAGTTAGATTATGCACCTGGCAGATTTACACAGGATTAAAAACACAAATAACCTTTAATTATTAGGAATCAAAGGGGGATATCAGGTAACACTAGTGCAGTTAAAAAAAAAAGTGTCACATGACACTGTAGGTTCACATCACACCATGGAAAACCCTCTTCTTTATTTTCAACGTATTTATAACTGCTCGAGTAAATCAGCAAAACAGTTTGTCTTAAGGACCAAAGCTTGTGCACAAAATGTCCCATTCTTTGTTTTAATGTCAGTTGAAGTATGAAACATCAGTCATCTCTAGTGCAAGCAGTTGTGCTTAAGAAACTGATTTTCTGTTTGTTTACCATAATAACTTTGGATTTCCAGTGAAAATGAAAAAGAATTATTAGAAGCAACAAAAGCCAACAAAAGGTTTTTCTGCCTTTGAGCCAAGCTGAAAAATCTTCAAATGAGCAATGGTAGCAGATCCCTAACCAATGTTGAACAAATCAATCACCACGATGGAAAAACCCCAAAGTCGTGTTAAAAAGCTTCTTCTTCTTCATGACTTATCACTTTATCACTGTGTGTCCCTTCTCTTCAGTCTCCACGGCCCAGTCTGACGTTCTGCGTGAAGACGTACGACCGTCTCTTCTTTCTAGTGGCTTCCAATGCAGTGTCCATGCGGATTTGGATGGATGTCATCGTCACGGCAACAGACGAGCACAGCCGTTATTGACCTCTTGCACATGTGACTGTACGATGCTTGAGTGAAGCCACTGAGTCCTCCTCCGCCTCCACCCGTCTGAGGGGCTGGTTCGGCTGAGATCCACCTCAGGGGCTCAACTCTGTACCTGGACTCATGAACATGTGGATAAAGTGCGCGAGAGTCGGAGCTGATGTGCTGGGACAGATTTGCTCGAACACAGCGGAGGAAGCTGTTACTGGATGAGTGATGCTTCAAGCGGTGGCAGAGGTTTACCGCTGATCCAGCTGCAAACCGCAAGCAGCTTTACGCACCAGTCTGCACACTGGGCGTCTGTTACTGGGAGGTTTCTCTGTTTGAGCCTGAGCTCCCTCTGCTGGTCACAGTCCGGCATTACAGGACTGGTGTACACTACTTCAACAGGGAGCGGACACAGTGATAGCAGCACCTGTTCAGTGTAACGCAATCCAGCGGAACAGACCAGCAATAATAATGCTTTGTATCTTCAGGTGTTCCCATTTATGTGTCCACTTCCTGTATCTTTGTTTTCAGTAAACACAGATTGTACATTCAATTTTATTGAATTAATTTATTATCTGGAAATTTATGAGTTTGTTATGCAAATAAGTGAAGGCATACACTGTTATGAATGCACTATTAAATGTTTATTCGTAAAAACAGTTGCTTTAGTTTGTTGTCCTTTTTTTTTCCAACATAAATCTTGATTGGTAAGAGATTTGCAACATTGATTATTACCAATAAAACAAAAATATGTTTTGTAAAAATACACTGTTCCAACTCCAACTCAAGTCAGTACTGTTTGAAAATGCTGACAGTTTAGAAACATCTCCTCCAGTTGCTTGCGGGAAAATTCAACCCCAGCTTTTGTCAAACGGCAATAAATATATATATATATATAATATATATTTCTTTTTTTTATCTGATATTTTGTACATTATTCATGTCTGCTCATATTTGTAGGCTGGCTTTCAACGCAGCTTGTAAATGAATTGGTTGTTCAAAGACATGTCACACAAAAGGCATTTATTCTGCAGTATTTGAATGGACGTCACCAAGGTGTTCTTTTCTTATATCCCACAAAATAATAACATTTGTGTTTTATTGTGAAATGCTGCCCAGGGTTAATTATAGTGTGATTCTCCTAGAAAACAGCTGAGGAGATTTGCATTACTGTAATACAGAGAGAGCATCAAAACCCTGTTGTTGTGCTGTGCGCCCCTCCCCAGAGGAATCTTACAAGAACTGAAGGTGCCGTATAGAAACGCCACCAGTCGGACATGACTCAGTTGTTGGATTATTACCACTGACCCTTCAATGCTGGTAAAACCTTTATTAGCTGCAGTTTCAGTTTCAAAAACATCGACTATCAGTATGTACTTTATGATTTAGAGATAGCAAAATATTTAAATTAAAAAAAAAAAAATCTTAAATATGCTCTTTTTCCAGAAAATAAAGACACTGAATGCTGAATATCATTGTTGGCTTTAAGGTAAGACTTCATCTTCACAAAACCTAAATTAAATCACTGGCAGCTGTAAAATGTTTTCACATAACTCTTGACTGACTTTTTGTGTAAATTCATGCATCGTGAATCTGTTCAGGTAAAAAATAACAAAGAAAATACAAAGAAAAATAATCATTTTTATTTCTCTGTCACAAGCTTGCAAACTTTCAATGTAAATGAATCTACTCAAACAATTTTGAAATACTTGTACATTAATGATGTATTCATAATTTTCCAATCTTGCATGTATTTACACTGATACATTTCAGTTATTGCACTGTTTATTACATTTTTTTTGCAAACAGTTTTGCAAAACATTAAAACATTTATGATCAGAGATCCAGTGAGTGAATACATACAACTATCTCAGATCGAAATAGTTGTCCTCTAAAATCAGGAACTACTTTTCGTCACTCTGTCTGCATAATGCTTACAGAGTAAATGTACAATATATTTATAAAATGATATATACAGTATATATAAAATAATTCATAATTACTTGATATATTTTCTGTGTAGGATCATCAAAGTGACAGAAAAGCATGACAGGTGCTGTAAAGGTTTTGTTCATATGCTGTCTACTTCAAGGTAAGCCTTCTTTTACCTGTCTTACAATTTTATTGCAAAATTTGCTTTTGTCTTAACATTTACTTTTAGGGCTTCTCTGCTTGGATTTCGAATGGTTTCATTTCCTTAATTTCTTTAACAATGATAGTTACTTATTTTTGTGTTTAACCGTACAGATGTTTATTTGTTTATTGTTTGTCCTCAGGTAGCTTATGCCAACACTGGGCAGCCTTCATGCCCCAGACAGTGGAGGGACTGAGTGGATCCTGTGTGATCATCCCCTGCAGCTTCACCTTGCCCTCTGAATGGGATCAACACCTGGATGATTCGTGTAAAGCCATATGGAAGAGAGGTAGCTGGAGCCGAACCCAAGTGTTTGATTCCAGCCTCATTGGAGCAAGTTCAGGCTTGAACATCCTGGAAGGAAACCTAACGGGGATCCTGCGTGAGAAGGATTGCACCACCATCTTCAACAACCTGCCATCGAACCATTATGACAACTATTACTTCAGACTGCAGTGTGACAACTCGCTCAAGTTCAACTTTCAGACGAGTGTCCTTATCACTGCTCAAGGTTTGTGCTATGTCCTGTTACACTTCTATATGTAAACCCACATCTTTTGGTCTCTCTGTTGAAAATTCCTTGTCGTCTTTCCTCCTCAGATTCACTCCCCAAACCTGCTCTAAATCCATCCAAGCTGGAGGTAGAAGAAGGGACTCCAGTGAGGTTGAACTGCTCGGCTCTTGCTCCCTGTCCCGCTCTCCCTCCGACTCTGACCTGGACTCCCAGTATAGGTGACATTGAGGAGAACATGGAAAGTAAATCTGTGACTTCTATTATGAACTTCACCGCTTCTTACCTCCACAACGGACAGAAGATCTCCTGCACCACTCTCTACAGCCGACAAGCTGGCAACAGCGACCTTCTGTATGAAAAAAGTTTGACCCTCCGTGTTCTTTGTAAGTACGTTTCTAGGATTCCCATGTCTTCTTCTTGTGTTGTGCCTCATTTCAGTTCATACCAATATCACATCATTGCATTTTGTATAATAGGATGTTACAACATGTTGTGAAAAATCCACTTACATACTTACGGGAGTTTATTTCCTGGGATTTTTCACAATCTGGCAACCCAAAAGTTGTTTTTAGTGATTCCTCTTCCTTTATTATTAACATTAATAACACAAGTAGTTACAACTTGTGAACATCTTATAAAGCATTCATTATTACAAAAAGACTGACTTGTTCCACAACATGATGTGTTCTTTGATTGGCAAGACATGTGTCTTAAAGGAATAGTTTGACATCCTGGGACATACACTTTCTTACAGAGTGTTAGATTCAGTAGCTTAGCTTAGCATAAATACTGGAAACGGGGGGGGGGGGCATCCTGTTTAAGTGTTTCCTCACGTGGATTTAAAACTGCCCAGTGGATAGGAATGTGAGTGATCGCCGGGCGAGCCTGCAACTGCAGATGTGTAGAGAAATTAATTAAATGATGAATGTTTCAAGCTGCACTACTCGATATCTTGATATTGATAATGGATCAAAAAAATATGTTTAAAGATGTTGCCCATGTTGAACCCAAAAGCAATATCACTTGACTCTGAAGTTCCTTTTAAGCTCGGAAGAACTTTTGAGAATATTTCAACTAATTTTGTTTTGTTTTATAGCCACTCTCATCACTTTCATTTTCAGCTGTTTTATAATAGAAAGCTCTGATAAACCGACTGGAGTTGCAAACTGGCAGACTGACTAAGATAGTGACTAGCTTGTGAACATAGTGGAGTATTTAGCAGCTAAAAAGCCAGTTATTTTCCTCAGTAGTTGATTGAAACCAAAACAGAGTTAGAACCAGAGTTAATATTGGACTAAGATTTGTCCAGAAACACAAATCCTAACGAATGCTAATGTTGCTTTGTGTTTACTTGATGTGAAAAGAGGCATCTGTTTGCTAACACGTTCACCATACAAACTATATAAGTTGTTGCGCTGCCCCCAAGTGGCCACATAATCTATTTATGCTGGTTTAAAGAAAATTTCCTCACATTTAAATTGTCAGATTTCTCTTCCAGATCCTCCAAATAACACATCGATCAGTGACCCTGGTCCTGTAAATGAGGGCAGCACGGTGACTCTGACTTGCAACGCTAACGCACATCCAGCCGTGGACAGCTACACCTGGTACAAAGTGGATGAGGATCAGGTGACAGAAGTGGGTTCCAAGAGGAAGCTTTCAACCACAGTTTCAGAAGTCGACAGCAAATTTTACTGCAAAGCCAGTAACAAACATGGAAGCCAGAACTCATCCGTCACTCAGATAGATGTACAGTGTAAGTTGGACTTTAACTGAAACACAAATGACAAATATTAGCCAACGGCGCGGACTGAACCCCATACTTTGTTTAATTTTCCAGTTGCTCCCAAGGACACAACAGTAGTTGTCGATCCTGCTGGTCCAATACTGGAGGGCAGCTCTGTTTCTCTGTCCTGCAGGAGCCGTGCCAACCCACCTGTGAGCAACTACACCTGGTACCGGGACGGTGAAGAGGACGACGAGCACGGGCCGACCTTAGTTCTTAACGGTGTCGACCCGGGCCATAGTGGCGACTACCACTGTGAAGCAAAAAACGATCTGGGAGAAGAAGTTTCAGACACAATTCAGCTGGACATTCAGTGTAAGTTCATTGGACGCGGTAAAGATGTTGATTTACTCTGACAACAAACAACAGAACTGTATGTTTCCACTGTGCTCATATGCTGAATATGGCTCTACTGTACCATACATCCAGCCCAAACATGATCTGGGGCCAAGACTCACAGAGCAAGAGTGTCTGGGCCACGGACAGTGATGCTTTGTCGTGTTGCGTGACAACCTCAAAATCCTTTCTATGTCAGTGGTCCATCATGACTGAGCTCTGCTGTGTGTCCGCATGTTTGCCAGTGTGTTAATTTATGTGTGGGTGTTTTGTTTGGTTTGAGTCCTTATTAAGACGTCATTTGCAACCACAGAAAATGAAGACGTTGTCTCTGTTTAATGAAAAGACAGTTTTATATAGAATTTGGAAGCATTTACATTTAAACCTTTTATAGTGGCAATTGTGTATCCTTAATTCACCAAATCACAGATTGTCAGTCTGTCTGCTTGTGAGTGAGGCACTGGTACATGAAGCCTCAGTTTTCTCCTTTTACATGAGGATCTTTTTCTCTTTTTCTTTTGCTTTATGCTTCAATTAATAAAATACACTCTAACTTCCATCAGTAATTCACTGCCACTGAACAGGATGATCAAAAGTGTGAAATTCATCACAACTGGTGCCATGACAAAATGTGGCATCGTATTTTATTGCCCAGGGCGAGGTAATTAAGAGGCTTAATGCCAAACGTGGTGAATTTCACCTCATGAGGTTCAAAGGTCATTCTTGACCTTGGAAACATGGAACTCATCAGCTGATGGCATTTGCCCAGTTGTGCTGGAACTGTAAATGTTCAAATTCCCTTTTTTTTTTCTCAGCACTTTTATGGACTTTTTCCTCCATGTTTGCTTGAAACCTGAGATTCAAAGTTCATTTTGTCACGACATCCGATTGTTATTGTTTGCTTGTAAATCTGCGATTGTGCTGCGGAGAGAGACTGCCCTAAACAGGTATGCAAAAAGAAAAAAAGTAAATAATGTAATGAACTGAAAACTGAAAAAAAAAAATGTGAATCACTACACCCCTAAAACCTGATCACAAATGATCCTAAAAAGGAATTTGTTGGGATGAAATCTGCATTCCTTGAACTGCTAACAGGCGCACTGTTTCTTTCAGATCCCCCTAAGAACACCTCATTGTCGGTGGACCCCTCTGGCCCGGTGCCGGACGGCAGCTCTGTGACTTTGACCTGCACGAGCATCGCCAATCCAGCGACGATAAACTTCACCTGGTTCAGAGTAGCTGGGGGAGAAAACGAGATGGTGGGTTCTTCTGAGCCAGACTTCACCTTCAATGTGACCAAACTCTCAGAGGATCAATATTACTGTGAAGCTCTGAATGTCCACGGAGCTGAACACTCAGAATCTGCCAGTTTTGATGTCACATGTGAGATTTATTCATTTATAATTGCACACTTTTATTTTTCCCCCGGACGTTTGATTTAGGGTGCACAAATAGCTAAATACCTTTTCCTCCTCAGTTGTTCCTGAGATCCTTCCTTCCTCCCGCTGCATCAAGATTTTGTCCCAGTTTCGATGTTCCTGTGACAGCCAGGGCAACCCGCTTCCCTCCCTGGTTTGGGAATTGGCTGGGGAGCCTGTCAATCACTCTGCTGACATCCCAATCAGGAAAGTTCCCCTGGGGGGCGAGGGTATGAGGAGCATCATCACTCTATACCGCCTGGACGAAGACATGCCCTCTCTCGTCTGCCTCAGCACCAACTCGCTGGGTTCTGATAGTTTTGTGTTCAATGTGTCCTCCAGTGAAACACAACTAGGTAGAGGAATCTACAGGATGCTGTGTTTGTATTTGGCTTTTTCTTTTGCCTAATTTGCCTCTTTCTGATATGGTTTCTGGCGACTTTTCAGGCCTGCACACTATGTCTCTGTTGATCGGCTCTGCAGCGGGAGCACTGGGGATGCTGCTGCTGTGCCTCCCTCTGTTGCTCTTTTGCAGGTGAGGAACATAGAGCTTGCTGTTGGAGGTATGACTCAAATATGATTACAAAATAAGGATTTTAAAAAGAATAATACATGATTGTTCATAATAACAATGACGTTTCGTGTTGGTCTTAGGAAAAGGACAGGCAGCCTTTCACTCGGCCAGGGACCGGTGGACACTTCAGACTTTTTAGTCACTAATGAGGTGAGTTTATGTCCTTGCACAATATATGTAATAGGTGAAGACTTACAGATACACCTTCAAGTAAGTAAAAAAAAAAGCATTGAATTCAAAGTACCGGGGAATGTTTCAGGAATTTAAGCTTGGGGAGGTAGAAGTGTCATCCTTCATAGGAAAAGGGCAGCTGTGGTGAGCTTGAATTCTGTGTACAGGGGATAGCAAAGGTGACGTTTTGCTTTTGAGTCCTAGTACTGCAGCATCCCCTTCTCCACTGTCCATCCTTACTTACCATGTTCCAGATTCTTTTCTTCTCCATTACTGAAGCAAACCGTCATTGTTTTCCTGTAGACCAACTCTTCACAAGTGGCTGTTATTCGTGTCAATAAAGCCACTCTGGAGGCAGAAGGAGGAGGAAACAAGACTGACCCACTCCACTGCGTCAGTGTGGATAAACCTCAGGCCAATACAGAGACTAAGCTCGGGGAAGGGGGGATCAGAGGCCTGGCCGCCAAGACGACGACGACGACGACGACATATGCTGAGATCTGCCTGCACTCCAGAGGATGCAATGGTGGAGATTCAAAAGAAGAAGAAACAGTTGCAGACTCTCATGTGGGACAAGGGCAAGGCGTTGATGGTCTGATGGGACAGGTCAGTGACAAGGTGACGGCTTAACTTTAGGGGGAACAACAGCTGAAACACAGGATTCTGGCCTTTAAACACCTACAGAACTTTAGTGTTAAGCCGCCGACAGAAGCCCAGCTGAGAATTCTGGGTAGAAAAACTTCTTAAAGCCTGCAGCAGTGGAGGTAACATCTGCACCACACGCTGCAATGTTTGAACCGAGCAACAGCGATGTCACACAACACGCTAACTCATGACCGTTGTCTCTGTAACCTTCAACCCTTCTCGTATGTCTTCACTGTAAAATGCCTATAGTAAAGAAAAAAAAAACAATACAATAATAGAAAAACATTTCAGAGCTAATCTGTATGCTGGGGTTTAACCTTTAACCTCCCCACAATCAACCATAACAATAAATGTTCCCTTTAAAGTCTTCTATGTAGTTTACTACAGAAGATAAATGGTGCCACATTTAACATGCTACTGTTTATATTTGATATTCCAATGCTAACCTTTGTGCAGAGTGAAAAAGCACATAGACAGTGTGATATTTGTCAAACACTTTTTTTTATTATTGATAACTTTGATAACATTTGTTTTGGTTTTTTATTAGAATACATAAATATGTTTGTGCTTATAAACAAAACAAAAAAGTAAATCTTGCTGCACTTCAGTAGACAGCCGCACCGGAGCTACAGTCAAAGCGGGTTATGAAATGGAGCATTTTGCATATAGTACATCATTTCGACATGCATACTTCAGAAACAAGCCTCATTACAGCCATGTCATTTTGTGCTGGAGCCGTGTTCACAAACTTCACAGTAATGTCAATAAACTTTAAAATACATTTGTCCCCATATATTTTCTTTTATAACAACTGAGTTTGAACAAAGAAATCAGTAATAACTGACCCATATTTACATTTCAGGTACTGTGGGTTTGGATTAAATTCACAATAATGGAAAGCAGCAATGCACTGAAACTGATATTTTAGGAATGAAAAAAACAAACAAAACTAAAGAGTAGAGGTTCCCCAACATTTTTTATCTGACTCACCCCACAGCCCATCCCATGAGCTCGAGTCTTCACTGCCATCATTTTGCAAATACACCATGTTCATATGAATGGATTAATAACTGGATGATGTTTAACACCATAAAGTATGTAAAAGTGGTATTGTTACAACCGTTTTGCATTTGTACTGCTACCATTTTAAGTTTCAAAAGATGGACATTTCAACCATTTGTCCTTTACATCTTGCTATTTCAACCGTTTGTTACTTTTAGCTAACAATTTCAACTTCTCTGCTCACTTATGTTGGTTGGAAGATAAAGTTATTGTAAATTTACCATTAGCATCCCACCAGTATGTAAAGTAGGATAAGAATATCTTGAGTCAGACTTTGACATCAGAGTAGTGAATCTCATCTTCGTCAGAGGTGCTGGAGTCTGTGTCGACTCTCTGATGTCCTGGCTTTGGCTTGAAGCTCACCTGTGAATAGTTGACATCCACTTCATCGTCACTGGTGTCTGAGTCATCGGTTAATGGGTTTGGAGATTTGGGTGCAATTGCTACAGTGAAGTTTTCATAGTCCTCCAGCCTGCTTTGTTCATTCTAGGATGATAGCAGAGATATTTACTAGATTATTTGTGTTATATGCCGTGAAAGTATCAAAGCCCTCAGTCCACAGAGAAATACACACAGCCCATATTCAGAAACTGAGCCTTAAAACGACCTCTGTGACCTCTGTAACTTTGTGAGGTCATAACAAAGCCTGGCCCACCCATACCCACCGTCCAGCATTACAGGATTTGTTTTCTCTGAGTGTTTACCTGAAATCTGCTAGATTTTTATTTGATCACTTAGAAAAAAAGTCAGCCAATCAAAAGAGAGGATCAGCTTCTCTCTTCTGATTGGCTCACTGACCTGTTGTTAGTGAAGCCTGAGAGAGGCGATATGAAATGACATTGAGGTGGTTTTTGGTACTTAAAACCACAAATATATTTTATTATGGATATTGAAACTTCAAATAAAACACTGGAAAAATGTAAAATATGGGACATCAGCTATCATTAGCAGAACTAAGATGCTCAACCAAATGTTTTATAGCCTGATATGATGTTATAAACTTAGCTTGACACATGATAAGAAAGGTCATGGTTTCTGACCTTTTGATGTGGCTTTGGTTTGGACACCTTTGTGTACACATCCTCTTCTGCTTCCCCCTGTCGGTTACTAGAAAGACAAATATCACCATTAAATGTGCCATGTAATAATAACTGTCTTGTTCTGGTATTATATGCAAAACGTAAAATTCTCACTTTGGCTTATTCCAAAAGTGCAGAGAAGCATAGTTGAGAGAATCATCCTGTGTGTGTCCACCTTGCTGTCCTGTGGGTTTTTGTGCTGCGGGAGCCTGAGCAGATGCAGACAGAAGACATCAGTGAATATACAGCAGCAACTCAATCGGCTCATTCATGCTTTACCGTTGGTCGCTGTAGGTTGTCCGTTAATTCATGGTTCCATAATACGGAACGATTAGTGTGCTGACAGACAGCTATTGACAGGACAAACAGTGAGGGTATAGCTGCAGTACACAGAGGGCAAAGCAACAGCTTGACCATTGAAAGACACATCCGCGTGTCTGAAGTAGAACGAGACAATTACTGATTATAGAAGAGGGAAGGCAGATGTTTGCATAGTATGCATTCTGCAAACACACTTTTTTTTTTTTTTTTTGGGGGTGTGTAAGGAGCTCTATAAGTCCTGAATGTGATGATGAATTTTTGATCTTATGTGCTCACGTTGTTTTAGATCCTTGTATCCTGTGCACTCAAGATAAGAAAATAACACCTTTTGGGACTTAGGGAGCTTTGTAATATTGCCATTAAAAATGTAAATGTGTCTTTTAAATAAGAGATCATAAAGGTTGTTTTAGAAGTTAATAGGATTTTCCTTGAATTGTAACCCAGGAGTTGGATATTTACCTCCACCATAATTATAGGTAGTAAGGGAAACCTCTGATACACTGGGCCTTTGTTCATTAAAACATAAATTTTTTTAAATACTTTTCACAGTTTTGCAGTTTTATGTGGCTGTTTTCAGAAAAGAAGCTCTGTCGTATCGAAGCTGCACAACACAGGAGGACTTGCTTGAAACTGGTCAATAGCGAGACGAACCCTGAAGACATCACCAGAGTTATTTTCTCGGACTGTTTTCACAGGCTGAGTAGCACTCGTGACAATAAATATATATATAGAATGGGTGGGCGATCCTTTAATAAAGTAATGCACTTAAATACCAATAAAGTTCTACCTCTTAAATAGTGATTTCTACTAGGTCTTAATTGCTTGACTCACCAGTTTTCCGTGGGGCAGATTCACAGTGCAGTAAACACTGTTGATGTTGGATGCAGGCCTGTGGAACAACAATGGTGACAGGAATGAAAACATGCATGTTTAGGGACTGACTGTGATAAATGACAGGGCGCACTCTCATTGTGCCATTCATGTCTGAAGGATCTTAAATGGACGCTTTGACTCCAGCATGAGCAGCAGCCCGTCCGGCTCTCTGCCCTACAGAGTGGTCCTTGTCCTGGGTGGGGACAGTGTGTGTCTGTGTGTCTGTATGTGTGTGTGTGTGTGTGTATGTGTGTGTGGCTGCTGTCTTACGTGCTGTCTGGACCAGGCTGGCGTTGTTGGGCCCTTGGACGGAACGGCTGGTCTGGCAAGAGGTCATCCCTGCTCCTGGACGGCTCTGTCAAGACAGTCTCATTCGTCAGATTCCCCCTCCTCGTGCCATTCCACCAACCCTGAATCGGTTCACACACAGACAAAGATATGTCATTTTTATCTACACGTGTTCAATAAAGAGGTAGAAGAGTATGCACAAAGGAGTCATCACCAAAAAGCCAACTAAGGGTTGTGTGTTTGTAGTTCCTTGTTGAATTGATTTTTTTCTCCTGTGTCTGGAAACATAAAAGGACATGACAGTGGTTACACATGTCAAATCAGCAGACATTTAATCTGTCTTTTTAAAAAAAAAAAATTATTAAAAGTACTTGTTCATGCTTTACCTGTAAACAATTAAAATTGAGAAAATAATGAGCACGATAAAAAAACAGAGAAAGGAGACCATCAGGATCTTCTTTAGGTCTCCTGCGGATAAAAGAGACAGAGCATCAGTACGTACACATCGAGTTGTAAACACTTTGTGTAGTGATCTTAACCTCCAACATGTTTCCTGTATGAAAGCAATATACACCACACGCTCACTCTCTCTCTCTCTCTCTCACACACACACACACACACACACACACACACACACACAGACAGACAGACATATGGCCTTGAAATTCACTCACGGTCAAACACGTGGACAGGGTCAGATGATTTTCGGTTCATTTCATTTTCTGCGATGCAGTAGTAGACGCCTGGGTTGTCTGAGTACACCTTGTAGTTTTGACTGTTAGCCACATTTTTATTGGTTTCCTTGCCCTGTTTCATCCATGAGTACTTGACTTGGGGGTAGCCGTGACTGCTGCAGGTCAGCGTCATGGAGTGCCTCCCGTCACGCTCCTGCTTTGCTGCTGTTATCGTGATAGTTGTGTGTTTTGGGCCGTCTAGGCAGAGAAATTCAAGAGAGAGGAAAGCAGTAGAAAATTATTTTCTCAATATCTTAGTGTTCAAAGATCATATATGAATGACACCACAAATGAAAAGATACTATTGCTGCTCTTGGCTTTAGATATACCTGGTAGACATTTCAATTTTTTTCCTCTGCAATATAAAAATAGAGCCCTTTAACAAAAGGTGTAGTAGTAGTAGTGGTTATTTTTGTTTTGGAGGATTTAAGGTCAGAAATGTTAGTCAGATAATAAAATATAAAGGCAGTCATATATACAGTAATGGTATATATTTCCTCCCTGTTTATCCACACACCATCATGAGCGCATCGTTTTACTCACATTTGATTTGAACCTGAACTGGCTGAGATTTTCCAGTTCCAATTTCATTGGTGGCTTCGCAGCTGTACAGTCCGCTGTCAGACGGACTGGCAGACTTTATGGTGAGGGTCTGAGTCGTCTGGTGGGTTTCATGGTTCCCATCAGTCTTCCTCCAGGTGAAAGAGGTCACTGATGGGTAGGACTGGGCATCACAGGACAATTTCAACGGCGCATTTTCATTCACAATAAGACCGGACAGAGGTTTTACTGTCACGTCTTTGGGAATATCTGCATTAACCGAAAATATAGTAAAAAAGAGAACTGTCAGACAGTCTATAGCAGGGGTCTCCAACAGGTGGCTCGCAAGCTACCAGTAGCTCACACAAAGGTTCTGAGATTATAGTCTGTACAAACCATAGATGCATAGTTCAAACTTTAAGCAACACAACTTCACTCAGTAAATCTGCTCCAAATGAGCCAAATCAAATACACAGACTGAACCCCAAATCATTATTGGCGAGTTAAACAGTGGCTTCAACTTGAGCCCTGTTTTTTTTTTTTTTGCCCATGTTTGTTTACATGTTGGAAAATGAAGTGCAGTGAATGATCTACTTTAACTTCCTGTTTGTTATGTAACCATTGATGAACTGACAACTATCACTGATCACTGACGGAGGAGCTTCTTCTTCTCTGGTTTCTGATCAGATTTATGGAGGATTATTTACAGTGGTGTTTTCATGTCTGTGTGTTCAGCTCTGACTGAATCAGGACTCTAATATTTGTCTGATGTGAGTTGCACATGTTTTTGGATGTTGATATTTGATGACTTGTGAAATGATCCTATTCATCTGATTTGGTTTGGAGACCAGTTTGAGAGTTCTGATTCGATATGTGAATAAATGTAACAAGTAATTTAAGACATGAGGAGCTCTCAGCCCGTTTGATTTTATCAAAGTAGCCTCAGAGGTAAAAAGGTTGGAGACACCTGGTCTATAGTATATCATGACACCTAACATTTAATACCTGAAAATCTTCATAATAATTGCATAAAATACACTTTTATTTAGTCAGTGGGGGTCAGTTCAAAGTAAGTATTTGTATATGTATGTATATATGTTTCTTAAGCAGCACAATAGTATTAGCAGGAGAATGGACTTTAATTATCAAAAGTAAAAGCATTTTTTTATGTTTGAGGTGTACATTGAACTACTGTATATACACTGTTTGGTAGATTATCACAATATATTATATCTATCTATTATCTAAGCTGTTCATTTTGTATGATGAAATACTCAGGTAAAGTACAAGTACCTCAAAATGCTGCTTCAGTCTGCTCTACGCCGCTTGATTAAATATATTTTATAGTATATATTATATAGTTTAAGCTTCTACCGCACATAAATTATGAGACAGAACCAACAGTCAACTAATAAACTAGACATGCAATCAAAATGACTTGATTTCACATGGAAAGAATAGATGAGAAAGATCCACTTTTGCAAATCGAGTTCTTTTTTTTTTCCAAGATTAAAATGCCAAAAACCGAACGGAAAGTTTTTGGTTTGATGTGATCTGTTTGGTTAGGAAACAGACACCGCTGAATCACTCACATTTCACCAGCAACTTCCTTTGTTTGCTCTCCTTTGAACCTTCGCTGTTCACGGCCCTGCAGGAGTAAGAGCCAGTGTCCGCTGACGTTACATTAAAGAAGTGGTGGAGAGTGCTGACGTGGGGTTGATCATTTATGGATTTATGGATTTCTAAAAACTGAGGATTTGATGTGGAAGTCCTTCTCAAGGTGAGGGTGGACGGTGGGTTACTTTCAACTGTGCAGGTAATGGTGACGGTATGACCTTCAGTGACCTCATCAGCCATAGACAGTGTGGGCTCGGTGGGAGGGTCTGTGGAGAGGAAGCAGCCGCGTGTTTGATTTTCAGGAGGTTACATAAAAAAAAAAATGTTGTTGCATGACATGAAAGCAGCACTTCATGAGCAGGAAGTCAACCTGTTAAAAGCTTTAACTGAAAAATTTGACATTTTAGAAAGTGTTCATCATTTCCTGGCAGAGTGTTAGATGAAAAGGTCGATACCACTCTCGTGTATGTTAATTTTATGGCTGCAACTGGCAACAGGTTAGCTTAGCTTAGCACGAACACTGGAAACAGTTGGAAACAGCTAGCCTGGCTGTGTCCAAAGGTAACAAAAGTCCACCAACCAGCATCTCTGAAGTTCACTAACTGACACATTATATCTGGTTTGTTTGCTCTGTATTGCAGCTGAAATGTAATAATTTTTACGTATAGTGACGTGCTGCATTATTACTTAAATAGGGACAATAACATCTTCCCTGGTTTTCTGGCAACTGCTTGCCATTGAATTGTGAATTGTTATTTTTACACTTCTGTTTTTGTATGGATTTAACTAGATACTACACATGAATTAGTGAGCTTTACAAGTGCTGGTAGGCAGGGGTGTGTCTAAAGGGCTGGTATCGACCCCTACCCTGAAATATGACTTTAGTGTGACTGAGCCAATCAGGTGTAAATGCTGATTGTTTTAAATATTCAACTTTATGTAAAAGTTTCATGGTTACTTACACAGTACATCTATGCACACTGGCTGACTATCATCCCCCGTTCCAATGGAGTTGGTGGCGTTGCAGGTGTAACAGGCTTCATCTGCTCTTTGAACACTCGCCAAATATTGGCTGTTGTCATGGCCTGTGCTAGATTTCCACCGTGAGGAGTCAATCTGTTTATTTTGGCTGTAACGGTGCCAGGAGTACGTGTGCGGCTCAGGATTGGCGTCAGTGTTACAGGTGACTTTGAGGAATTCACCAACTTTCACTTTGTTGTCAGGGATGAAAATGCTCGTACTCGTCGGCCTGTCTGGAAAAAAGAAATAACTGTCAGTATGCTTTTGATAGTGATGAAACCTTCTGTACCATCATCAAGTGTCCGACATGCATACAGTACAGGTATAGTGTGAAACTTACATTGAACACTGATTAGAAGTGGTTTTGATGTTCCGGTACCCACATCGTTAGTGGCTTCACATGTGTAAGAGCCTCTGTTCTCAGGCTTGATAGTTTCTACAACATATGATTGCTTCTGATCAATATGTGTTCCATTTTTAAACCAATTGTACGTGGAAGGCTGTGGGTAGCTTCTAATCACATTACATATTAAAAACATTTTATCTCCTTCTTTAACGTCTGACATGGGTGAGGTCTTCTTTATCTCAACACGAGGCACATCTGAAACAGAAGATTTCACCCACCCCCTTTGTTTAATTCATAACGACAGTCCACTACGAATACAGTGATGTAAATAAAATAGAAATATACAAGATTTTCATTACGAATTTCACAATGATTTTTTACGAGTACAATGGAAAGATGCCAAACTAGTACTGAGGGTTAAAAAAAATTACCACAGCAGAATTATATGAGCCACAATTACTGAGAATCACCAACACACCACAATATATGACAAAAAATGAAGTATACAATGGAGGAAATTACATAAATTCAAGGAAAAATGTAGGAAGTACTCACATCTAACAGTAATAGTGATTGACTTTGATATAATTGTTCCATATTTGTTCTGAGCTTTACAGTAGTAACTTCCACTCTGTGACTCCTGAATTGACGTGATGGTCCATACGGGCTGTGAGGACTGTATGTCTTTTTCTTTAAACCAGGTAATGTTGGGCTTAGGATTTCCTTTGGCAGAGCACCTGAGAGCCACTGAATCTCCTTCCTTGACAATTTGAGTGCTCTGAGCCGATATGTCTTTAGGAGCATCTGTGGCAACAAATTCAGTACAAGTAAGGAGAAATCAGTTTAGATGCAGCAAGCAAGGGTGGATTGTAAAAGGAAATCAAACATGCAACAACTGAGACATATTTGATTTAGTCCCAGTAAGGAGTTATCTATATATTCGGCAAGTACATGAAGCAGGTACAGATAAACCCTGCTTTAAAGTGGTCACACAAATAGGTAAAGCCTGAGTGTTGTACAAATTATGCACAATGTGGATAGAAAATTCAGATTTTCTGACGTAACTAGGCTGTTGGAGGAAAACATGGAGACTGCTGCTTGATTTCTATAATATTAAGTAACTGCTCAAACATACTCATATAATAATTACAGTACTATTAAAAAGGCACATGACTGGGTAATTCTGCTCACTAATTCTGATTTTGAAAATAAAATAAAATATGTAAAAGACCTGTCAATCAGATTGACTGTTTGAATCAGTAGCAACTCTTACAGCTCTAACAAAAGAAGCGACATCAGTAAAAACGATCCATTTATGAACTTACATTCAACAGTTACAGAAATATTCTGAATAGAATATTTGTCCGTGTTATCCTCTGTTTGGCATGAAAACTCCTTCCCATCATCCTGCAAGCGCGCTGTAAAGCTGACTGTGGTGCTCTTCTCATTTTGTTGAACATTATTGAACTGTGTTTGGGGTGATTGTGCCAAATCTTGAATTTGTGGCCTTGATTTACATGATCTCAAAGTGGAGCACGTGAGTGTTATTGTGTCAGATTCGTTCACGGCAGGTGGTTTCTGAAAAGTGAGCAGGCATGGATTCTCTGAAAATATGAAAGGAAGACAATATCAGCAGAAATGTAACAAGGATTACACAGAGTATAAATCACTACAAATACATGTTTATATAAATAGAAGCATTCATTTATACTTGGCTGGAGTGGAGCTTCAGCAAAACTGCTCTAGATTCACTGTCGATGTTATGAGCTAAAACTAACGGAGCCAAAGAACCACAGTCTGAAGTTAAAGCTGGCGATACACTGGATGATATTTTCTTAATTTCTCTTAGTGTGACTCAAAAAAAAATCACATAACTTATATAATAAAATGATAAAATATTATAGTTATGAGACAGTTTCTGCATATTTGTAATACGCACATCTTCTGATCATCAGATCCTTTTTGCTTGTTGTGGTAATTGGGTCATTAAGCTAAATATTAATGCACATGTTTTGCTGTTAAGTGTAAAGCACATGCAGTGAGGGGATCAAAACGGTTACACACAACAGCCTATGGGATTAGACCATAGGGAAATAGAACATGATAGGGAGGCCTGGATAGACAAAAGAAAATTTATCCAACATCCAATAAAAAAAAAAATCAATTTTTATGATGATAGGGTGGATTTGAGGCACGTTGGGATCTTTAGTGTCAGTCAAATATGGCAACTCTGGGTATACTTGTATGTAGCAGGAGAAAGCAACTCGTCACTTCCACACACCCAACATATTTCCATCCTCCCCCATCAAGTCTAAATTAGATCAGATCATACAGAATAATCTCAAAACCTCTCAGAGGCCCACCCACACACACAAGAGGGAGGGAGAGCTGTGTAGAGGCTTGGCTGTGTCTATTCTGAACCTATTTGCTGATATACATACTGAGCAAAACATTTTAGGCCCTTTATTCTTGTTAAAGTATTACTTTCCCCCTAACATTAAAAATGTATTCTCAAAATGCTACATTCTTTTGCTCAAAACATAAAACATATTAATTTTATCTCAGTGTTTGCATAACACATTTTATTGCTCTGTATTTTAATTTCATTCAATATTCTGATCTTTATACATACCTTCAACATTGAGGGACACATTTTTTTTAGTTATCCATTTTTTTTTTCCCACAAATCTGAAAGAATACTCTCCTCTGTCTCTTTTTTTCAGGTCGCAGATCAAAATACTGCATGATTGTTTGTTTGAGTTTCTCCAACGTGAAGATGGAGAGCCGATATATTTGACTCGGCCTTCAAAGTCTGGACTGACAAGACGTCTTGAGAAATTTGAGCTGTAAATGATGGTGCCGGTAAAATCTTTACCAGTGTCATTCCATTTTCCGTCCTTCATCCAAAACCAGTATGCACCATCATCATCATTAACAGTATTTGAGACTGTACATTTGATCTCAGCGCACGACCCCTCTTTAGCTGTCAGCTCACTGGGTGTTAGGTCAAAGGGGTTTAGGTTATACGTTGAATAATCTGTGGTGGTGAAAACACAGGTACACGTTAATTTAATGCAAATGTTGTAAAAAGCAAACATTGTTGTCAAAGTAGAGTGAAAAAATTCCTACTTTTTATTAGGGCCAGAAATACCAACCACCCGACGACTGTCTGAGCAGCGATTCTCATGTTGGACTAAAGCTTGATATCTGAAATAAAAAAGTGTGTGTGTGTGTAAACATAATTCTACAGCATAACAGCACAGAACCTTTTTTCCTGTAAGGCAAGTTCCTTTTTCACTGAAAGTCACAACATTTTTCAACTTCCTCTTTTTGTCAGACGTTTCTGTCTTCATTTTTTATACCTCATTTTAAAATAGTTTCATTTGGTTTCATTCTGAAGTGCTGAAAACAAGCATGTTATTTTCTCTCACAAACCTACATTGGAAGAATTTGTCATTTTGTTTTAGGAATAATAGATTAATGGAAAAAAAAATTTAAGATGGAATATTTAGGCTACATGTTTTTTTGTAAATCCTGGTGTACTGTAGTTGTACTTGATACAGCAGTGCCCAAAACAAACATTGGTCATTTGACTCATCTACATTTTATGGCTTCAGGTAAATGCTAATTAAATTTTTTTTTTTGACATCAGCTATTAGTTTATATCACTTTAGTTTCCTTCGCCAGACCTGCATTTAAAGACGACCCTTAACACACCGCACACAACAGTGCAAACAATACAGTGCATTTATTGGTGTAGACCTAATATAGTCAAAAATAAATACAGTGTTTTTCAGAGGTTCTATATCTCGTTGAAAGTTGAATCCAGATCATTAATAACTTAAAAGATTTTTCCAACCAATTGAAATGCTTCTTTAGAAATCACACAGATTGTACTACCTTGATGATTGAGATGAACCTTTACAGACAGAGATAACTTTTTTGGTTCTATCAGGTAGTCGAATAGAAGAGATATTTTAGACCAGGAGACACAAAAATAAGCTTGTTCTTACCTCAGTGATCACTTTTAAGAGTCAGTAGCATGCACCATCACTCCTGAATAAGATTTAAAAAAAGGAAGTTTTCACAGTTGACTTCAAATCTTAAAGAATTTGCATGGCCAATCATGCAAGCTGGAGAACACAATCTTTCATGATCTTCTGATAAATGTGATCTTGTTTTTTTTTTTTTCATTCAACTCGGCCTGTTGTATGCATGCTGCGAAACTTCCCCCTACTTCCTGTCTTTGTTAATAGCGAAAGCCACTGTTTACAGTATGCGATGAAGTCTTTCAAACAGGCACAGGGCAACTTTCAGTACTTGACATGTATTTGCAGAATTGATGCTTACACAGTATTTACAGTGTTTCCTTTAGAAGTTCATTGTAATCAGAAACAGTGAAAAAGTACCAAAAGATTTATGAAGCATTGTCTAAATTGTGCATTTCTTGTATCCCAAAACATAAAAGTGAGGGTGAACCACACGTAAACAGGAAACATCGAATAAAAAGAAAAGCATTGGACTTCACTTCCCCTCCCCCAGAGCAGCATCTACTATCTTCTCAGCATCGGCCGCCATTTCATCAATGGCGCTATTTAAAGATTGCAGCATGGCAGCGAAGGAGCGGCTGGCAGAACGGGCATGTCTGGGCATCGCCATCTCCACCAGTTTCGATGAAACGGTGGCCAAGTCCTTTTCTGCTGCTGCCAGCCGCCTCTTTACTTCCCCTTTGGTGACCTCCACTGACAGCACACAAGTTCGCAGCCCTTTGAGTCTTGTGGGATCCATGCCTCGCCGCCGGGCCAGTCGCTCAACCGATTCGTCGTCCAGGCACAGAGACAACTGCGCTTTCGTCAGGATCCGCACTGCTACACTTGAGTCCACCATAGAGGCTACCAGGGGAACAGGAATAGCTGACATCCCACCAGATAGCGAGGCGGCTGCCCATACTAGTGCTTTGAATGCCTCTTTTTTCTGGGTGACCAGGGCTGAAGTGAGTGTTGGTAGAGCTAAGAGAAGGGCGTGGGCACGGATTTCTGGAAGGTCTTTGCTCATGTCGTCCAACAGACCAGGGAAGTCAAACTTCTCCAGGGTGGAGGGTCTGACCAGATAGACTTTAGGCTGTGTCAAACCACGTGATTTCAGTATTTCCAGACTGGCTTTTCTCTTTACTTCCAGATTCTTTTCTGTTTCTTCCACTGAAGCTAAGAGAATAAAGTATACTGTTTGTCGCTGCAGTGAACGGGCTTCCAAGTACACCTCCACGCTGTTGTTTTGGGGTACATGTGTGAATGTCATGAAGACAGCATTGTAGCGGAGGAACTTAACTTTGTCCATATATCCCCCGGGTTCAAATGGGGAGGTGTCTGGCACAGGTGACAGGTCCCACAGACGAAAGTCAGAGTGTTTAGGGTTAGGATAGCCTGCCATGTCCTCTGAGGCAACAACGGATGAAGATAGAGCGGCCCCCTCATCCCCAGGTCCGAGGCCACGGAGGGAGTTCAGGAAGGAGTCTTTTTCATCCCCACGGTTGCCCACCACAGCTAAGTTGATCCTACTGATCAGGAGATCTTCCACTGCATCCTTGACATCTGATAACTTATTGCTCTCTATGGATTCTTTGAGGGTCTCAAGGAGATTTAGGCTTCTGAAAACATCAGCCATCTCTGTGGAAAGATAAAAGACTGCAGTTATTTGCAAAGTCACTACAGGCCTTTTAACATAGAACAGACAAGGAAGGTCACGTGAATACTTCAGGACATACACAAACAAAGCATAAAAGCTGATCTACTTTACCATACTGGTAGGTGTAACAATAGACATGATGACATCTCACATTAATAAAAAATAAAGTGTTGCAATAGTAACAGTGTAAAATACACCTAGAAGAAACTTGAACCCTCTCAGAGAGATGTACTGTATATATTAAATACTTTACTTTATAGTGTATCGATTTTATGTGACTTAATATTTCTACTCCAAAACATTTCAGAAGGAAATATTTTTAGCCCACTGTGTATTCTGCTACATTTATTTGACAGATATACTTTGTAGTTACTTTAGAGGTTAAGATTTAAAAAGCTTATAAAAAGCAACAGATGGTTAAGAATGAACCAACAGTTCCGCTAACAATCCCTCACAGCGTCTAGCCGTCTAATACTTGTCAGCAGTTCCACTAAAGAGACATTCCCTTTTAAACTTCTCAGATGTTTTAATTTGCAGTTCAAGGCCCAAAGAGGTACAATTGTCCATTATTTCACAAAAAATGTTAACATTCGAGAAAAAAGATTTATAACAGAACTTTTTTTTTTTCTTCTCTCCAATTAATAAACTCATGAGCGATCAGATTTGTCTAGTTATACTTTAGGAGAGTAGCTGACCTCAAAACTACCTGACTGGAGCATAATTAAATAAACTAAACTTTAAGTCTACAACAGTTAAAATGATGCTTATACATTAATGCATTAGTATTTAAAATATAATAATGTCATATGTAATAATATATCAGTTACAGGGAATATTTTACTGCAGAATGAATACTTTTACTTTTATAAGTAACTTGACTTTTACTTGAGAGTTTGAATGCAGGATTTATTTGTAATGGAATATTTTTTACATTGTCTTATTGGTACATTTACTTAAGTAAAGGATATGAATACTTCCTCCACCTTATTATTTAAACCTGAACTTAAAGTCCATTAATAGAAATACATATGAACTAAGCACCATCTAATAACCCTAAAATGAATTATTAAATGTGCATTGCTGTCAGTTGTTAGTATGACAATACTGCACACACTCACCTACACCCCTGAAGAAGAAGCAGCCCTCTGGTTGAAATATTTGTTCCCAGTTGTAAGATTCTTCTGATTCCTCTGCAGCTTTGCAGCACTGACAGCGTCAGGTTGATCTATTTAAGGTGCTTGTCCAGCTAGTGGAACATTCTAATCCTTTTAGCTGAGCCTTAATCCAAAAATCACTTTAAGCACATACGTGCACACACTGTGTATCTGTGAAGCTACTGGCTTTCGTGTATAAGCCCACAAAATTATATGCACACATTACAAGTGCAAACAATAAATGATCATCACTATTATGACTTTTATCATTGTTCATGGTGCAGTAACATTTCTTTTTCAAAACAGCTTAAATTATTTGCCAACAGTTCCAGCCAATGCCTCTCAGTATAATGCATTCCAGTCTAACAGCACCACAAACTGCAGCCTCCAAAATGATCATGAATGATCATGAAGTTGAATCAGTTGGTACACAATGTTGAAGATGAGATCTGAATAAATGAAACTAAATGTTAAACAAGTAGAAACCAGTAGTTATTGTTACCAGTAGACAGTTGGTAATAGGTAATGTGTTTTTTTTTTGGATGTGGGTACCTCTTTCTCTTTCAGTGTTTTCAGCCTCTCTTTCAGGCAACACAGTCAGCAATATGACAGTTTTGCTTTCATTTCATTTGCTATGAAAGCTGTCTTGTAAATTTGGGTTGTCTGGTCAGACTTTTAGAACAATGTTGAATTACATATATAAAAAAAAAGAGGAACCAAGTAATGTTAATAAAGTTGAGGAAGGTATGTATAGTGCTTGTGAGAACCTTTTCAAACAAGCTGTAGCGTCTTTCTGTCTTCTCTTCTAAGGGGAACCAAATATGCAAACCTGACACCTGCTTGGTGTTTCAGATGTTATCTTCGGCTCATATCCTCTTACACTAATTCTTGTGCTCACATGAACTAATTTTAAATACAAAATAATGGGACTTGAATTCAAAATTTGTGCAAAATGCATAATTTTAACACTCCTCACATAATAAATGCTTTATTAAATAAATAAAACAGAAAAAACAGTTTAGCATTTCAGGTTTTCTCAACTGTAACCAACCATAACAGCTGGTTGCAGGGATTCCCTGTTGCCACTGTACAGCAACCAGGCAAATAGCACAGAGTAATGCCTCGGTAACTACTCTAAAATGACAACTTTTCATTTTTACATTTCTGTTTATGCACAGAGTAACTAAAAGATCCAAAATTTTGGACAAAGCTAGGCTACCTGTTTCTCTATGCTTCCAGTCTTTTTGCTAAGCTAACATGCTTCCATAGTTAATGCACAGACATATGGAGCTGGGATACAATGTTTTGTCTCTTCATCGCCCCCTATCATCCTCACCTCTTGTTTGCAATCTCTGTCCTGTCTCCTTTCTGCCTCTTCTCTCTTAATTACAGCATACTCTGTGCTCCCTTGTGACTTCCCTGCCTTTGCTGGACTCTCTCTTTTCAACACTGAGAAATCAATGTTGGACTACTCCACAGCTCGCCCTCCTCCAGCTGCTTCTTTATTGTGGGTCTGATCATCTTCCACTGCCTTACCAGCATCTGTCTATCAGGTGCAACAGATAAGTAATATGAGTCATTCATTGGCTGCTACACTCCCAACAACTGTATATGTGGATTAGATCAATTTGCACCAATTCTGCTAAAATCTCCTCCACTGCTGTTTGCCACAATGTTTTCTCCAGTACTACTACAAGGTGTCAACAAAGTCATATTCCACGCTTTGGTGCTTTAGGTGGTATGACCACCTCTATAGATATTGTGGACCCTCTCATCGACTCTAGAACCTCAGCCAGATTTCCATAGGTCCTCTTCAAGATTATTAAATTAATGTCACACTTGAACAGACTTTAAACGATCAGTCCTGTGGTTTCTGCATGTTTTGGCCCAGTTACCACAACTGATAAACATTTTCCATTACTGCAAGCCAGTTTCGAAAACATGTCACATGTTTTCTGTATATTTCATCTAGCATATTTTGCAAATCAACTTTATACATAAACAAAATCCAAGTTTAAAAAAATAATTGAAAATAACATGAACATATGAGAATATATAAGGACTTAATAGTGTACCTGTGGTATTTTTCCCCCCAAGCAGCAAAGGGTTGCTGACTTCTTTATTTTACTATAACAAAATTAGTCTACAGTATTTACCAGCCAGTTATGTTAGCATGCATAGTCAGATTTGTGTTCAGATGTTCTGCTGTCACATCAATGGTGATGAGGGTAACTTTTAAATATTTAAACAAAGGGAGTAAAGAACAGCTTGTTGTACTCACAGGTCATATTCAAAGTCACCATCTCCTCTGTAGACATGTTGCCTGTGAAGCTGACCTTACAGGTGACCTCCATACCGTGATGCTCAGCTGACAGATTGAAGGTCAAAGTTGAGGTTTGTCCCTGATTGGCTGTGACGTTTCCTGTGATATGAGAGTCCTTCTCTCCTGCTCCTCTCCATGTCCAGGTGATTTCAGGATTAGACCCAGAGCAGAGACCAGGAGCAGTGCAGGTCAGTGTGGTCTGCTGTCCCTCTGTCAGTGGAGGAATCATCACTATGGGCTTCTGACGCCGATCTAATGGGGAAGCAAAAATATACAGTAGAAAGAAAATCAGTGTGGTGTAGTGATGTATCAGGTGAGCAGACAAGGAGGTTTTTGTTCTCGTCATATAGGACTAATATCGTAATATACTTAAAAATACTTAAATATTTCAAAGCTACAATACGTAGGAGTTTGGTAAAATGAGATTCACTCAATCAGTGTTGTTGCAGTTCTTACTAGTCACCAACAGAGGGCCATAATAGCCAAGCATTATTTCATGTTGGTGCATGTTATAGTCACAACAATGAACATATTCAGTGAACTTAGACTATTTGTTGTAGCTCTTCATACCTTTTACAGTAACTATACATGTATCCATCCATTGTCCCATTGATGATACCATCAAGTCTTAAATGATATGATCCAGAGTCTGACGATGATGCTGCAGTTGTTCTAACTGAAGGCTCCATCAGTGGCATTCATCCTGTAAAGTCAGACTGAGCTTTTGTGTTATTCTCTGGGTCAAGTGTTATCTCTGCATAGCTACAGTTCTGTTTATATTAATCCTATTTGTACCAAATTACACTCAGAGGAGTGAAACCATTGTTGGTAGTAAAAGAACATGGTATCACAACACAGAGTCAAGTCTCAGCTGTTTTATTCTGCTTCACTAAGGAAGATGCATCTCTGACAGCCCTCTATTTCTCCTGGTGATGCAACTGTTAATACAAACAGGGAAAAAGAGACGTATATATGTATATAGATGTGTAGATAGACAATAAGAGGATATCTAATTGCTGATAAAGAAAGACTACTTTCACTGAAAGGTTGTAACATCACTGAAATGCTGCGGAACCACTGAAAGGGATTAAAAAAAAAGAAGAAGCTATTCGTGGCAACGTGCAACCAACCAACAATTCCTGATGCACGAAGCTGATATTGTATTAGTCAGTCATGATTCCAAGTTACTCCCTGAAGGAGGACCACTGACATTAAGCATTATAAATAATTTCATTTGAGCTTTTACATATGTTTATGGATTCATCTTTGGCAAATACATTATTAATTGATTTAAAGGTAATTACTCATACCAAAGAGTATATGTGGGGGGCCATGAGAGCTTTAAGATACTAAAATAAATTTTAAGGATAAAAAACTTAAGACCTCCAATTGTACCAACAGTTTCAACAAGGACCCTTATTATCAGTGCAATGTTATCTAACATTGAGAATGCTTTCAGAAGATTTAAAACATTTAATATTAGCTTTTGATTTTGTTTATCTTTATCAACAAAACTGCATCAAAGCTGCACACTGTACGTGTGTTAGCATTGTAGCCTCTCGGAGAGACGATAGCGAGATACTTGGTTCCTCCCTCCACAGGACAAACTTACTTTCATAAGCACACATATACCAAAATTGTTTTAAATCTACAGGAAGTTTGGTTGATCAAACTGGACCAGAAACAGCTGCACAGATGACAGCACAGACGTGAAGGCAGGATGTTGCATGTTCACCTTTTCCATATTTGTGACTAAATTTGACTACCACTTTCCCCAGGGGCACAATTGGGGGCCCCTGCCAAGCGCTCAACATCAGCTCTGAACGATACATATCTCTGGCCTCTGCCATGTCCTGGGCCCCTCTCCATCTCTGGCCCAAGACCTCTCTACTGAGGCCTGCTATACTGCACATGCAAAGCTAAGAATTTTACAAAGTAATGTGTCACATTTGTTGGGGGCATAATGGCTCACCACAATAGATTTAATTCAGAAAAACATTTAAATAACATGGTATATGTAGTGTCTTGCTTGTCTGTTGTTGTTTTGTGGTTTTCCAGCTTCTCTTATCTCTAGGGATCTGTTCTGCTGTGTGACTCAACTGGCTCTTCCTCTCGTCACTTTCTTACCTCTTCCTCCATTGTGCAAGAACATATTGTTGCTCTTCTCAACAGACTGCTACAATTTCACACAGTTATAATCTATCATCATTTACCCTTGTGGGAATTTGTACCACATTTCTTAACACTGATCAAAGAAGAAAAATGAAACCATTTTTTAAGTTTATGGCAGTTGCACAGAAAACATCTTGAGAAACCAACCACCTAGTATATTTTGTTTGTGCAAATGTGTCTATGACTCAGTAAGTTTTGAACTGTGAGTATGTGTTGGTCTTATATAGCTTATTTCTTTCCCTTGTACAGTACAATGCATAATAGATACTGTGCAAAATGTGCACAATAACAACATTAAATGAACTGTATCTAATCCAGTATCTGCAGGTTGAGTAATGAGTGGTCAAAGTATCTGCATTTATTGTGTTTCTCCATTTAAGCATCAAGAAACCTCCCACAAACCACTTCTGTATTTGTAGATTGTGCATATCTGTAAATACTGTACTCAGCAAATGTACTTCCTTAAATGGCACCACCTGAGCTGGCCAAAGCCTTTATGGGTCCCTAAGCAGAGTTGGATTTGGCCATGAGTGTAGGGTTAGACTCAAC